GGTTACGTTTTCCAGCACAGATCATCGACCCTGTTCCTCTGCTCGGTCCTAAAACCTGACTCTCAATATCCAGTGCCTGTTAAACCCACCTCACCCATCCAAGCCTTTCCCTTTTGGACCCCTACTCCATAGAAATACACCGGATCAGCACCTCATTATGACCACACCTCGGCCCAGAATAGAAGCCCACTGGCTCCATAACAAGGCTCTGTCAGGGCCCAGATATGTCACACCTACAAGTGTTTCTCACCTTGTGCTTCTTGGCAGCACTCTCTGTAGGTCACTGAAAGGTGACAATGTACAGGGAAGTTAAGGGGCATGAGCGGTGGACAGACAGGCTCACTAAATCACAGCAGTTTGTTATTGTTCTTTCCTGCCTTGCTTCCTTTTCTGGCTTTCCTTGGCTTTTTTGTGAATCTGACCTCTCATTCAGCTTGCCTGGAGCTCCTCTCATCCATTCCAAACAGGAACAACAATTCCTAAACTCTTGTAGTTCAAGTGTCCAGGTTCTGCTCTCTTCTTCTGTCTTTGTCAGCTGTAGCCCGTTACCCCACTGCCTTCTCTTGCCCTCCCTTGCATTGGTCAAACAACAGGGCCCTTGTGATAGCAAACTGAGGAAGCTACCAATAAAGGGATATATGTATTTGACTGGAGAAAGCGAAGTAGGGACGGGTGTATGTATTAAAGCCAAAGAAAGACTCATCTGGAGATGTTTAAGTTGGACAGGCCAGTTTCCGGTGTCTGGAACAGGCCCAGCATATCCTGAAACAGAAAAATCCTGCAGGAGGGGAAAGGATACACCTCCTCGTTTCTCATGTGACCTTCTACATTAAGCAAACTAAGCTGAATTTTGGGCTTGCAGCATGGTAGCAACCAAACCGTTCCAGCAAAGCACATTTAATTTAATAACATCTTTGTATTGCTTAAAGTCTGGGAAGAGTTTCAGATCATGAATTGCCTCTCTCGCATATTTCAAATATGGTGCAACTGCAGACAAACTGTATTTATCACACAGACTATCTGAAAAGTTAAGAATGAATGGTCAAGTATCTCTGATGCTGATAGCTTAGCAGAAGGTGTACTACATATGTATGCATACTGTATTTGTGCTACATGTGGCCTCACACTGTTTTCATTACACAGGGATTCATGTACTGGGATTCGTATAGAAAACAGACTAGCCAAAGCTTGCCGAGTCACTCAAATACTTTATTGACAGTAGGCTTAGCCCTTCCTTCACAGCACAGCACGCTAGTACCTATTTATGGTACCAAAAACTGGACTGATTTTGTTATATTTCCAGCTTGTGGTTTCAATGGCTGCTGCTCCAGCTGTGGAAGGTGAACACAAGTGCCCAATTTAGGTCATACAAAAAAGTCCAACGGCTGCAGTGGACTGAAGGCCAAAAATCATTCAAGCAAACCAAACCTGAGAGCAAGGAGATGTTTTGTAAGTGCAGAGAGAGAGAGAGAGAGCAAACTAGGGATGTAGAGATCTAACTTAAATTCCTGCTTGCCATTATCTATCAAAATCCACATGGTGTAAGCATACTGTATATAAAAAGAGTGTAAGCTTGGCATGTGACTGTATTGTCAAAGTAATATGTCACAAGAGGATAGGGTCTTCCAAGGGAACTCTTCATCCCTCACGAAGTGTCCTTTTCCTAAAGTACAGCTGATTTAATGAAGTAGGCAGACTGTGATCACTGCTCATTGTTATGTATCAGCAGTGCATCGCTTGTGTTAGAGGCAGACTACTGGTGTTGCTCTGCAGACACAGATGTCTGTTTGGGTTTGTAAGCACACACACACACACACGGGGAGAGAGAGAGAGAAAGGTCTGCAGTTTCTCATGGCTGTGAGCTGCCGCAGAAAATTTCCCCTCATCTCCTCCTCTCCCCGCCCCCACATCTTGCCTCCATTATTCCCGTGTTTTCGAAGCAACTCCGATGACAGCGCGAAACATAGCTGGCAAGTGAAGGCAGTCTGGAATACGGTCGTTTTCTTCCGGTCGTCCCCCTCGGTTGCTGACCGTTGGTACGGTCTCGCGCTATCCGCACGTTCGCTCACCGTTTGTGGACGGTGCCGGTAGCGAAAGGGGAGGGGGGTCGACCGGGACTAGCCCCGTGAGAAGCACTCTGCTCTCGGAAGGAGTAAAGGAAGCCAGCCTTGGAAAACGCTCCACGGTCGCCGTTAACTAGCGCCGAGTTATCTCTATCTTGAGAGGCGTAACGTTAGATATAAGATGTGACGGCTCTGTGGTGTTTAGAGGATGCAGGGAATATACAGAGAGCTGCGTCGCTTGTAATTAACGTTAACTAATGGTCACTAACATGGATGCTGATGTGCCTCCTCCCCTAGGAAAGCCGAGAAAATGGGTGTTTTTTGATGATTTTCTGGCAATAGCACGACTCGTTTCTTTCTGGGATTAATAATTCGGGGGTTTTCCCCCCTCTTCTCTCTCTTGGAGCCGGTTTTTGTGTGGGAGCCTCGCGGGGAGCGTTTGTTTGCAAGGTAACTAACATTAACTGATCTGCCGTCGCCAGCACTGACCAAGCATCACTGTCAACCGTCTGTTTGTGTGTGTGTGTATGCCTCTGTAATTTTGGTGTCAGCTCCAGCGAAATAATGAAACACTGTGAGCATGGCTGCTTAGCACAATGCTCATTTTCATCTCTTTTAATTTCACCGTTTCTGGGATGGAGGTTAGCCAAATGAAATCAGTAATGTGTCAGAAATGTGGGTGGGTTACAGACACCAGGACAAGTTGATGTGGCTAGTACCACGTGTTTCTAGACTGTGTACCTCTCACATTGTAATGTTATGCTTACAATATACATCAGAGGTCAGTGTCAAGATTCAGTGATTCTGTCATGTTAAAAAAAAACTCATCTCTTTGCAAATAATGTGAACTAGCTGGCTGAAGAGTCTCATGATGCAGCACATGAAGTTGAAATATTCCACATTTCCTATTTTGTTCAACCATGTTAATGACAAGAAGCTATTTATAGAAACTTTACTGCATTTGGATTCATGGTGTATAGAATGTCAGCAGCATGTGTCCAATACCACAAAGAGAATTTTATGACCAAAACCAATAAGCCTCTGTCTCTGCCAGATTGGGCTTGCTAATTTTAGCCTCAAGGCAGTGATTTGTTACCTTGACGTTAAGGTTTGTACTATTCCCAGGTGCCTCAAGCAGAGTGCTAGTGAGCCTGTGTGTACTTGTGAGTGTGTGTGTACACACTTTCTGCATTGCAGTTGAAAGTATTGCAGACAAGATACTAAAGTAAGATGTTTGGTCAGGATACTGTAGTCATGTCCTCTCTTCTATCACATGTCCAGGTTCAAAAAATGGAGAAAGAAGATAGGTACCTGTAAAAGGTTTTCAGAAAATAGATATACATTAACTTTGACCCCCATGACATCCCAGGGTTGTTGTATTATCTATATTTGGTTAAAATAACTTGTGTTTGCACCACTGACCTGCTGTTCAGTAGTTATGGTAGTAATTAAAATCACTATATACAGTATAAACATGTTTTTTGGAAAAGTAATGTAACTCCAAAACAGTAGGGTGGGAGATGAAAACAAAAGCCAACGTTGGAAAATGTCACTGTATGCACAGGTGCACCCAATCTAAACCCTCAAACCACAGGAGATCATTGGTGAGTGGGAGGGTAAACCAAACCCTTCAAAGTAGCTAGAAGCCACACACACAAGTAGTCATTCATCAGAGTTCACACAGGGATGAGTGTTGAGACACAACTCTGTCACTCCTCTACCTCTCGTTTCTGGTATCCTCATATCTCTGCTAAACTCTCACCTCCAACCTGCCACCCCATTGCAAGCTGGCATAACTGGTGAGAAAGTAGGTGTATGTTATAAAATGTACTCGTGTTGTGGACATGCCCACACCAAATTGCACAAGCCTCAGGTTACAGATATATATATATATATATATATATATATATATATATATATATACACACAAACCGGCGGTTACGCTTGTGCTCATGTCTATGGCTATGTTTTGGAGGGAGTTCTCATCAAATGTTTGACAATGAGGATGTATCCCCCTACTCCTCTAACATTTCTTACCCTTCCACACACACACACCAACACCACCACCCCTTCCCCCCCAGTCTCCCTCCCCATCTCCCAGATGTGAGGGAAGTGTGGGAGGAGCCAGGGGGTGTTTGTGTTCCTCAGGGTCCCCGCTTCCTGTTGAAGTGTAGAGAAACTCCACATGTGCTGAAAACACCAGCGCACACGTACACATACACGCAAACACAGCAATATGCTGAATACTCTGGAACTGTCTGTACATCTTTTCTTGAAATACTTGGCATTATTTCTGCAGTGAATTGTTAACCCTCCACGTTGTTGTCGTTTGGTTTTTATCATGCAGTAGCAAACTTTCACACAGGTCTGGAGAAACGTCCTTGCTTTGTCTGTCATGTGCAATGTTTGATCTAACTTGTGTGCATGTGGCGCATATTTCCCACAGTTAACTGTGTCATCATTGCACCTGCTTCAGTGTTTACGCTTCAACTTGGCAGACGGATATTATCAGTTTCAGCTGCTCTCAGACAAACACATCTTGAACATTGTCAGCAGGCAGCTTCACTCATTGTGATCACTGTAGTCCACTTATGGATAATAGATTTCCTGCTCAAGGAGGAATGTTAGGAATGTCCGTGAGGAAGAGAGCAGCACAGGACGTTGTCTCTATTGGCCCATTGTGTGGTTAGCTTGGCTAACCTAGTTAAGACTTCACTGAGATAACAAGCACACATGCACACTACAAGCTTGCCATATAGAAAGTCTCTCTTATTTATTGATGTGGGGATGCATCATGTTCTTGTTTGTTGTTTGGAGATTTAAGTGATTTTCTTTGTATGATTGGCAGACCCATACAAATTTCCGCTTTTGATCTGTATAACGTAGTAAAAACAAGCATATTAACAAGGCCCTTGTCTTTTTGTCTCTTTTTCTCAGATGACAGAGGGGAGGCGATGTCAGGTCCATCTCCTGGACGACAGGAAGCTGGAGCTCCTTGTACAGGTGAGTTCCACCCACCCCCTCTTTTTCCCTCTCTCCTTCTTCCCTTTCTCTTTGCAGACTCTCATTTCCTTAGAGCGAGGGAGAAGCGATGTCTGGTGTGCTGAGGGACTCAATTACTGCTGACCAAGGGAAATTTGGTCAGCAGTAGGTGACTGCGCTTTCTTGGTGCTCACCTAATCTCTCCACATACACACAAAACACACACTGGAGTGTTTGCACGACGGACCCTGCCCGATTTACCCTCCCTATAGAAGCCATGCATCCCAATACAGAGTTCAGTCCTAATGATGACCTAAACAGCAACACTTACTTCCCCTAAACTCATGCTTCACTGCTCATTCTTCATCGTCCATCCCTACTGCCCTCCCAGAATGCCTCAGCAATGTCAGAATCATCTAACAAAAAACACCAACTATCTACCTGTGTAATTGAAAATGCTTCATCTTGTCCTCCAAATGTCATGGACAAACAAAGCAGCATGCTGCCCACCTCCGCCTACTTCCAGCCTTCTGTCCTCTTAGCAAGACTTTCTGCAGTTATGACCAAAGGCAGCAGCAGCAGCACCCACAGTACATCTCTCCCTTCTTTTGGATTTAAAGGCCCTACCCTTTTCAGACAGCTAGTTGCTACTGTAGCTCTGCTCCAGTCTGCTCTCTGGTCTAGGGTTTTTGGAAGTTTTGTAAAATCACAAATTAACAAACTTTTCGTTAGGAGGGGATTAGATTAATTTATAGATTGTATGGCTCTCACTGCACAGTAACTTCTCCCTTCACTTCCACATTACAGGGTTCAACATTTTTGTTTTTTTGTTTTCAGAAATCTACTTGTCAGTTTTTACTTGCCCCTATTACAAATTGTTTTATTTATTAGCAGTTATCAAATAACAACAAGAATAAAGTTAATTGTCATTTTAATCTTTCTAAATAATAAAGTAAATTCATCTGAACAAGGACACAGTGTGTCATAGATGTAAAGCAATAAACATTCTTGGATATCAAAATTGGTTTGACAGTCTCACCTCCTTCTACCAAGAGATGGACTTTTTAACTGTGAGTAAGTGAAATTATCATAAACTTTGTCTTTACCTACTGCTATTCTGTCAGGTAGAGATGGGTATCATTAGCATTTTATTGATACTCTTCATTGGTGTTTTGTCGTTCTTTTTCTTTACTGAATAACTTTAAAAAATATATTATTTAAAAAAAGAATAATTCAGAACAGGATTAGAATTTAATAAAGAGTTAATGCTCTAAATGGGAGATGGAAACACTTTTACTGAATAAGTTTTGACGTAGAGAACATGTAACTTTGGGTAGATTAGCTGTAGCGACTTCCCCACTTGAAACACATTCCTGAGCACCTCTATCCATTTTCTCAGATCTATGTTCCTGAGGTCTTTGCGAATGTTTTAGTTTCCGGTTTGCAACCCATACTCCATGTTAATTACAGCCATGCGTAACGTCAACTTCTGACGAAACTACGCTTTGTTAGTTTGGTTTAGGATGCTCAAACCAGCTGATGGAAGCGTACCTAATTTGCAATTTCTTTTTTGCAACATTTCAGAAGTTTGCTTAAAATTTGCTTGACAGCAAGATGGAAACTTGACTTGTATCAGTCCTTCCTCCTGTCCTCTTCCTCCTCCTTCTCCCTCTGCTGCTGCTGGTTGGGAGAGGAGCGGCTGGTTTGTCTAAACCACCTGCTAAGTTTACAAGAATTTACTAAATTTTTAAGATACATGGCAAACTAAGCTAAACAGTTAGACTATACAGTTTTGTTTTAGCTCATTTGGAACAATTTGCTATTAGCCCAGCTAGCGCGCTGTGCTTGTGTAAAACATAGAGGATGTGAGACTGCGGACAGAGAAGAATAAAATACTGCTTTATACATCTGGTGCATTGATGAAGTATTGGCTTTTTACTCGTAAAGGTTTTATTGCATATTTGTCGCCTACTCGAGTAATCTCCACCACGGCCTGTCTGATCCGCTGTCTGCTGACTTTGCTCCATGTGTGTGAGTTTGTGAAGGCGCTTACGCCTGACACAGAGAACAGGGGAGAGGCTGCCGCGTGATAATAAATTACAGCAAAACAATGTTTAATTTATTTATTTTATTGCTTATTTGTTGCTATATTACTTGCCCGATGTGGCGTTTTACTTGCCTAGGGCAATCTTATTGTTGAGCTCTGCTCTTTCTTCATTGGTCATCTACCCTCTCATGGCTTCAAAGTCTGAAGTGTTTCCATTAGAAGCTCCTTCCAGTCTTCCTAAGCTCCCTCAGCTCCCTTTGGGTCCGACCATTACCTGATTCCACTTGAAAAAGGAGAGATAGACAAAAGACGGTAATTGCCCTGGAACAGGAGAAGAAGAGCAAGTGGAGAATAGAAAGACTGACAGAAATGCAGGAGGTTGAGAGTGAGAGAGAGAAAAGTGAGATGGGAGCTTAGGAATAGGTAGACAGGAGATGACACAAAAGAGATGGGAATAGAGAGGGAAAAAATGGAGGGGAGCGCCGAGGAGAGGTCTGCTGACTTTCTGATTTGATTACTCTGCCAGAACTGATCCTCTATTTCAAATTGGTACTACTTTCTGCTCTTCTTCCCACTCTCTCCATCTCTCAGACTTTCCACTTATCACTCTCCAAAGCTTCTTTTCTCATTCTGCACCTGTCTTGCCTTTACCTGGCCTTCCCTGTCTCTTTTTAACTGCAGCAGCCCCATATCTCATCCATCCAAACTCTTCAGCTCATTCTTCATCCTCTTGGCCATTAAGAAAGGAAGTAAACAAAAGCAGAGCTGAATTACAGTCATCTTTGTTTTATGGAAAGACTTTTACAGGTACTAGAAGACAAGTTGTGAGTGAGAAAAACTGTTCGGTTTACTAGACAATATACATAATGCAACAAATGGTATTTTTCTTGTTTTCCATTAGCATAAGAGAAGGCATTATTTCCCATGGCATGCGCCTCACCATGGCGGTTTGTTGCTGCAATAAGCAACATGCAGCACATTGCTTTGTGAGCTTGTGCACATACCGCAGTTGAAGTTCAAGTTAGCTGAACTTTTGTGCTGCACCTAGTGGCCAGCAAATGCAAGGTGTTTCTTATCTGGAAAACTTATTAGAGGTGCTACTAACCGTGTGGCAACAGGAGTTTATGTTATGGTGGCTCACCATTGCAAAACAACCAGGTACCAGTAGAGCAATGTCAACATGAAGTATAGCATTAACATATACTACTTCATTTACTTATCAAACAGTGTTAAAGGTTAGACGCAGGTCAAAAGTACAGTCCCTAGTTTCCCAGCGGTCAGTGGACTGCTTTCATGAAGACTCTCCTGGCTTCAGGCAATCGGTGTGTATAGGCCTTCGTAGTGGGGGTGGGTCAACATTAACACTTCAAGTGTAAAAGCCAGGATCAGAGTTAAGAATAAGAAGTTCAGAGGTATTATTTATACAATTACACTCACAGGTTTGATTTATTAATAATATGTATTCACACTCGGTTTTGACACCAGCTCTTTATCAACTAAGAGTCAAATAAAATGGATCTGACTCTTATCAGAGTAGAATTAACTCTCCATTTACTCAAATTTCACTAACACCAAAAATTTAACTCTACTCTAAACTTGCTGTGTATGCAGTATGGAAAAGTATGGAATTTTAGTAATTTTCAGGATAAGTATGGACAAAAGAAAAGAGAATATGGAAAAATATTTGTGTTTCCAGAAACAAAGTCAAATATGGTGTGTGACTGAACGCACACTCCTGTGCAGATCTGCCTCTTTGCCTGCACGTCACAACCCAACATATCTGCCCAAGTGCCCTATGCTGCATTTCAGTCAAAGTTGGAGGTTGTTTTAATGAAAACGAGTGACATAAATAGACAATACTCTTATACTGTGATCCCATCTAGCTACGTCAGTAGGTGATCTGCAAAAGTTAGTAAATGTTGTATATTTCCTAATGTTTTTAAATTTGGGGGCATTTTTAACATTTTTCTGAATAACTTTTGTGCAGAAAAGATGGCATTCAGAGATTGTTTACCATAACCAGTTACATAATAACACTGGCAACATATTTTGACATCAGTTATTATTTAAATTAATACAGGCAAATATACTTTATGTTGCCTTTTAGTTGATGGCTGCACCAATGGAAGTGCATATTGTATGAACACCAAGGGCACTGCTGAGAGAATAGTGTGTAAGAAACATCAGTTTGTCATGGTCAGCCATGTTTTTTGTTTATGTCTGCCGCCGTGTCCCTGGAATGCTTGGAGGTCAGATGTTGGAAATTTCAACTGTAAAATCCAAGTTTTACAGGAACGCAACAATAACTTAACAAATCCGGACATCCACAACCAAACCAATATCTTTAATGTAATTTAAAAAAGTTGAAACTGTATGAGTTATGTAGTCATCAAAAAAGTAAACAGACCAGACTATCCTCCCTGCGTAAGGAATCCATATATTTATGGCTTTGTTTCCATCATCGACACAGTAAACAAGCAAGGCTGTGCAAATGCTCTTCTGTTGTGTTAAGGCAAAATAATACGAGTATAGGTAGAGAGAGATGTTTGACAGTGGAACACCGTCCAACTTTCTGTGTAGGAGTGTGGACTCAACATCCAATTGTATGAGCAACAGTACCTAGCTACAATCCTCTGGCAGTTATTTGGCAACATAATAGCATACATAGTCAGAATGTTTGATTTTAAAGCTGTTTATTTACATAATAAACATCTAGCTATTTGTACTCATATGTCAAATAGTGCCTGTGGTCTTCAAAATCTACAGAGAAGTCTGGAAATTTGAGTATGGAAAAGTATGGAATTTTGAAATGGAAAATATGTACCAACTTAGGTAACAAACCATTATCCTGCTGTCTTTCTTTCCTTTGCTCTCGCTGTCTGTCCTCCCTTCTCTTTATTGGACAGATGTACAACAGACCAGTAAGTTGTTGGTAGGACCACAGAATTACTGTTATTCTTAGTCTCCCGGTCAACTACAAGACAATCATGTCCTCCATTCAATTGCAAAAATAGGATTTCTTAAAGGGAATATCATAATTTATAAACAGTGCAAACAGTTTTTTTTTTAAATGTTAGGGCAGTACTACAGTATTAAACACTGATCATTTAACAGCAGCGTGGTCAAGTTTGTCGTGCTGAGGTTTTCATTTAAGTTCCTATAGCCTGTGAAGCTGAAAGATTGGCTCTTATTCCTGTCACTGACTTGTAACATTGACCAGCTGTTTAATCCCAGAAGTGTCATTCACTTTTTCCTCTTCCCTATCCCCTTCCTCCTAACTTTGATAGTGTGTCCTCTGTGGTTTATTTATGGAGCAACGCCTCATTGGCGGGGAACTATGTGCTAGAAGGCCAAAACACCTATTGACCAAGCCGTAAAGATTGAAGCTAACTACCAAATACACCACAGGGTGAAAATATATGTCAGTCCTATAGCTATCGCTCCCTAAGGCTAGAGGGGTGTACGTTAAAGAGTGAACAGGGTATTAACTTGTATAGCAGTGTTGCTCTTCCATGTCGATGTTTATGTGAAGATCTCGACATTACTGTAATAAAGAAACACTTCAGGGTTTTACTGTAAGATGCTGAGACACACATCTGTATACAATGTATTAGTTAAAAATATTAATACATGTAGGGCATGGGGATAAAAGCCTTTTCCTTTCCCACCCTTTGACTCTTAAGGACTGCTACTGATAAATCAGTTAGCATCCCATAAATCTGACCAATCCTGAAGGCACCAAGGGCCTTGCTAGCTGTTTGCAGAGATTGGACGGTGACTTGCTGTCAGCAGGCCAAGTGAGCTACTGTGGTGTGCTTGTCACTTGTCTGGAGGTTTGCTTTAGCATGTCTCCCCCTCCTGTAATTCTTGTGCTGTTAATTACCTGTGCTGCTGAAGAGGCACAGGCTAAATGTGTATAAGTAGTAATGCTGTCTAAGCTAGCAGATAGCTTTACTGTCTGATAGATGGCTCCAGTGTGTGTTTGTGTGTGTGTGCGTGCGTGTGTGTGTGTGTGTGTGTTTAGTGTGCAATATCACTTACTATATTAGCTGTCATTCATTGTCTATATCACTATTTTGTTATCTACCACAACATTATTAAACATCCGTTTGGTATCTTTCATCTCACAGATAAGCTGTTGTGTCGGTATGTGCGCGTGCGTGTAGAGGCGGTGAGTTGTTGCTTGAAGTGAGAGCCAAACGCAATTATACTATCCACTTCAACCCATGTGTCTGCTTGGTATTCAGAACAATTTTGAGGAAAGAAGCTCAGCCTTATCTTACAGGGATCCTTCTGATCTTTTTTCATCTTCAGTCATGCACTTCTGTGTGTATCTGGGGCTCATTTGGTCTCCATATCATCTTTCCAACAGTTTACTGTATGTGTCCACGTGTCTCTGTCCCCTGCCCATTGTTTGTTATTGCTGCGGTGGCATGGATGTAGTTTAATTGATATTGTTGCCAAGGCATTTGACTGCTGTGTGGTAATGAGAGACCACCATTGTATGTGTCTCAGACGGAACCAAAACATGTATTACTGCTAATACTATAAAGACAGACTGCTTCCAGCCCTAACATTTCCACATCTAAACTGTTTTGAGCTCTTCAAAGAGATCTGGTGTTGCTCTTGTGTGTGGCTGCACTCCCATTTGGAGAAACAACAGAGCCAATCAAAGCCTTTGTTGATGGGACTACCGTTTTTTGTCAGACAGATCTGGACTTAAACATAGTCAAGGTCAGCACTTTAATCTATTAAACTACATGCAACCTTTCACGTTCTTATTCTTTGTTATGAGTGGTGAATTTATTCATTCATTGTTAATGTAATTATGCATTTGAAAGTTTTTCTCAATATTCCAACATAGCAGTCAAACACAGGAGTCTACTAGATAATTTACCAATACTGGAGGGTTGTGTAGAGACAGGGACATAGAGACCAAACTAGCTGCAGTAGCCATGTTTTCTGATTAACACTATAATCTGGTACATTTATACTTTAAGACAGAATCACACTATATGTTAGCCTCTCCTCAAGCGCTCTCTAACGCTTCTATTCTCTCCAGAGCCTTTTTGTGTTGCAGGATCACTGTAGGCATTGCGCTTATATGGGATCTAGGTCATTGGAGTTGTGTGTGTGTGTGTGCGCGTGCGTGTGTGTGTATGCTTGCTGTCTGCATGACATCACCTCCTTGTCTTTAAATAGCTCTCGGTAGCTTCTGTCACTGAAGTTGTAGTTGTGCAGCGAGTAGATAGTACAGAACCTCAGGAGGAGATTCTTAACAGTGTACACACTGTGGCACATGTAGTTCGCGGTGTGTGTATATTTGGTTGTTATTATGTTTTCCTCTTAACCTCCTCTATAGTTTATGTACACAGCACATGCATGCGTGTTGTTTATGGGCCTGTGAGTGCAGATTTGTGTGTGTGTGTGTGTGTGTGTGTGTGTGTGTGTGTGTGTGTGTGTGTGTGTGTGTGTGTGTGATGAAAATGTAGGCAGCTAGGCACACCCATGGTTAACCTCAGGGTGGGGCGTGCTGTTACTCAGGATGTCACAAAGCAGCAGCATATGGCAGCAGTCCCCGGCCTCTGCTTGGCTTTAAGATCCTCTGCATGCTCTGAGCGTTGTGATGAATGGAGGTTGTCATCACATATAGCATTTTCTACAGTATTAACTAGCTAGCAGGCTCTTATGCTAGCTGCAGCCCTCTCTCTGCAGTACAGTGGTTGAGCCCAGACCCATGACACTGCAGTACCTGCAGAGGTTTGGGTAGAGAGGGGCGGAAAGGAGAGAGGGAGGGAGGGGAAGGGCAGGATACCTGCACTGTCAGCAACATCCACAATCTCCATCCATCTTTCTCTCCCTCTCTCTCTCCCTCTCTCTCATTTATTTCCTCCTCCCTCGCTCTTTTCCTCTTTTCCCCAGTGTTTGTCAAAATGCTTAGTCATTGCAGTAAATCAATAGCTGATAGAATACATTAACATAAAGCTCTACCACACTTGCTCCTACAGTGTGATGAACTACTACACTCACACACAAGGCAAGTTTTAACTAATAAATAAAACCATACGGAGAGCAATACTAATATTTCTGTCTCCCTGCAGCCCAAGCTGATGGCCAAGGACTTGCTGGACCTTGTGGCCTCCCACTTCAACCTCAAGGAGAAGGAGTACTTTGGAATTGCATACACAGATGAAACGTGAGTCACATTCAAGTAGTAATGTCGTTGAAAACTACAGTGCACATGTTCTGTAACCCAGGACTGCCTTTTCAATGCATCTTGTTTGTTGGTCAGTGCAACCAAATAGTCAAAGTCAGTATCACATTTCAGGTGCCACCTGTGGCGTTGGTAAACAAAGCAAAAAGGCCACTAGAGTAGAATGTATGTGAACATGTTTCTATGTTTCTTTAGTCTTAGAAAACCAGTAAACTTCTTGGTAGCTTGTAATTAATGACACAATCGTCATTAATGACAAAGGTAGAAAGCTGAAATTGAGGATTCTCTGTCAAGTTTTCAGCATAATGTGTAGACATTTAAATGATTTCTGTTTTGGTTTTATTTATTTATTTTTATTTAACCTTTATTTAACCAGGGGAAAAGACCCATAAGATAAAATCTCTTTTCAAGGGCGCTCTGGCCAAGAAATCTGACCGTACAAATGTAAAACAACAATACAAAATACAATCAAAACATTTACTTTGTATTACTATAAGCATTGCTTTCAATGTGTTATACTTGTCTTGTCCAAGACCTGTTATGCAAAACAGTATTTTGTTTCATTTCATTAAGCACAGAAATACTACTGTACCCACTCAAACCTTTCTAGCATTAATAATGAAGTCTAAAAACAAAAGCTATTGTCAAATATTTTAGCAAGATGCTGCACCATGTATTAAAACGCCATTATGGAAACTATCACTATCAGTTGCGAGTACATTGTTTGAATATTAAATATGGTTGCAGAATATTGCAGTAAAATGTGGTTGTAATGAATTTCCAGTGTCCTTTAATGTATTTAACTGTGTTCTGTGTAGGCTTATTTAGGTATAAAATGGCTCTTAGATTTAAGAAAGTTCACATTTAACTTTAACTTAACCAAAATAGTCAAGGCTGCCTTCAGTCTGGTCAAAATAACATAACCATGATCATCATGAATGTGACACTGAGTCATAAACTGATGTACGATAAGATTCCTAGTTATGAATGTTTCCACTGTTATGATGAGGCCTTGCTCTGAGCTAGCAAAATATCACAAGTCCATGTCTGCCAGAAGGCTTTCTACAATGACTGCACTTTGAAATGCAAAATTGACATTCAAATGTGTTTTATTGCGTTTGGTGACCTAGAAAGACAGAAGCACCGTAGCATCAACCAGAACTAGTCATGCAAACATAAACATGATTTACATACAGCCAAACATTGCCTTTGGTTTCTCTCTTTTTTTTTTGTTTTATCTGATGCACCCACTATTGTCAGGAAAGACTGGCCTCTACTCTGTGGCATTTTTACAGCTGTGATACTTTAGCCAGTTTCAGTCCAGCAAAGCAATATCAGCTTTGCAGTCTTAGTCCCCCAGGACTAATTCTGTGATGTGTAGATTTGTTGCGTGTGCCTGGGGAGAGCTGACGCCTCAGCTCTGACCGCTCGGTGGTCAGAAAGGCTGTGTGGTCGCGGGGGAGGGGGAGTGGAGAGATCGAGAGACAGAGACAGAAGGAGGGAGAGTTGGAGAGAGATGTTGCTCAGTTGCTCAGGAGACCATGCAGGGTTACCAGGGTGACAAGCTGTCTCTGCAGTTTTTCAGAGAGGGCGCGAGAAAAGAGATAGCGAGAGAAACGAGAGGCTGGGGGGGGGGATTGGGGGAGAACAGAAGGGGAGAAATGGTAACAGGAAAACAAAATTCGGGAGGCTTAAGGAGAAAGCGTTCATTGTCGTGAGATGACGTTTTTGTGTATCATTGTTAGATATTCACACATGTTTGAATGATAGCAATGATTGGTTGTTTTGTCTCATCAGGGGCCATTTTAGTTGGCTGCAGTTGGACCGCAGGGTATTAGAACACGAGTTCCCCAAGAAGTCTGGTCCCATCATCCTCTACTTCTGTGTCAGGTGAGTCTTTCTTCATTAACACACAAACTTACACTCGCCATGGTCTCTGATTAAAGATGGTGTTTGAATGTGTGTGGGAGGGAGAAAGAAAAATAAAAGAAAAATGTGTATGTTGTTGTTTTTTGTACACACATGCATTCATGTGGTAATAGGAACAGTTTAACGAGGTTAGTTATGACAGGCCCCCATGAAATTGCTTTTGACCCCAGTGTTTAACTCCTGCCATGGGCCTCTCAGCCAATCATGAGCCTCTGAGACCTCATCAGTACGCACTGCATGCAAATCCCATCAAATAGCTTTGCAGAGACTGCAAAGTGCCATACTCCAAATAAGATGGCAGAATGCTTTCTCCATAGGGAAAGAAGCCTTAGAATTTCTTCTCTATGTTAGTACTATACATGTAGAAGCAGTTTGACAAGAGCCGTTGCTGACTCTTTGGTAAAAGGTTCACTTGTCAATGTAATGATAAAAAAGTGAGAAAATATTCTGATACTTGACTCAAACTGTGATGAGGCATGTGCCCTTGCAGTGTTCTCTTCGTGCTGTATTAGGGTCATCTCCTCAGTTAAAGCCAACTCTTCTTTGACCTGCTGTTACAGGGTTATGAAATCACCCTACAATCCCACTTTCCTCTTTCAGCCCTTTGTACTTCTCACACAATGGCCCCACTCATACATAAAACACTCCTGACTCATAAACAGGCACTGGATCATGTGTGTATATGTGACGGAAATACAAAGTGGATCTGTTTGCGTGTATGTGGGTGTTTTATCCTCAGTAGGCAAATAAAAAAAGAAAGGAAAAGGCACCTGACATGAGAGCTCTCTTACCCTCACAGCCCTCCCAACCCACTCTCTGCCCAAAAAACAAAAACTCACACATATGCACAAGTGAAAGCCTGAAAGGGAAAGCCAAGGCTTTGTTTTGGGTCCTTGGGTGTTCTCTGTCCCTGACATATCTCAGTGATGTCATAAACACCCCAGGGACTGAGCCTTGGTTAGCAACGTACATAGTAACGTAACACACAGTAGCACATTAACTCTGCTAAACAATGTCATTGAGTAGTCACTTCCAGGTTGACATTTACTACACAAGTCATAACACAATGAGGTGACTGTATAGCAAATTCATATTCTTACCACATAGACCTATTGTTCACCGTATTTAGTGAACAATGGTATCATTGTACAATGTATCAAAAGCTGTGCATAGTACGATTGATTGCTCTTGCTGCTGTTTTGGTCACTTCTATTTCAGTTAAGTTGGTTAGATATTCATGTTTACCACCGATCTGTATCTTAGAGCTTGGGTTGGGCAATAAAACAACACAACAACAACAACAACAACAACAACAACAACAATAATAATAAAATAACCAATGTTTATTACATTTTCAATAAATCTTTGATTTAATTCACTTGAATCATGAACGAATTAGCAGTTAATTTTTCCATTAGAATATTAAGTCTGGTTTCTTCAACTTTCACCCAAGAGCAAAAGTCAGCCTTTAAACTTGAAAGATATAATTATTTGACATTTATCGTGATAATTATCAATGTCGAATGATTAGAATTTTTTTCACCTGATAACATTTGTGTCCAGCCTTACTTAGAACCATATAATACAACAGTGTCTGTGGTGGACATGGCGGGGCATTCAGGGTGAGGGTCACTGTGTGTATTTAGACAGACTAATAGGTGTTTGAGGTGTGTAGTGGTGCTGTGACATTGTGAACTTTGACGCCATTGTGAGGCTTCTCTCCTGCCATTCAGTCCAATCAGTCTCTCCAAACTACTACAGCCCCCCTTAGCACACACACTCTATTTCTTAGACACATGTACGCACACACATGCAGATTCAGGACTAAACTATCAGCCCAAATGTCAAGCCTGAATGCATTATCAATCTGAGCATATTGTTTTCATTAGCATAATATAAGCTTTTGTGTGTGTGTGTGGGGGGGGGGGGTCCTGTACATTATGTATTTGCATGCTTGTGCGGTGTTTGTGTGATGTGTGTGTTCCTAATAAATGCTAGGCAGATGCCCGCCTCCTGCTGATTCAGTGGGTGCCCTTTTGGATGCTTGCTGCTGTGCTGGCAGTGTGTGGATGTCTCATCATCAGTGAGGCTTTAATTAAATGTTCACACTGAATATTGACAAGGCTCCTCTCATTCTCTCTTGCAGCTCAATGGGTCATGCGATTTAAGCCCACCAATATTGATCCTCCTACAATCCCTCTCACTCAATACCTATACACTCATACATACACAGATGGACACATTCATTCACGTGTGTTCATATGGACATGTACTTAGATAACACTTGTAGGGGTACACTAAATTATGTACTGAGGTTGTTCAATATGTAATATTTAGATTTTTGACCAGAGAAGAGGTAACAATGAGTAGCTTCTTAGCATACCATCATAGCTCCCCTCTGGCTCTGCATGCATTCATGAGCTAAATTTAGACTGCGTTATTATGTTAGTTCTCTCCTCACCACTCTGCCAGAATTGGGTTACTGTGCTTCTCTCTCCAGTATGTGAGTGTGTGTCTCTGTGTGTATACGTACTGTGTGTGTGTGTGTGTGTGTGTGTGTGTGTGTGTGTGTGTGTGTGTGTGTGTGTGTGTGTGTGTGTGTGTGTGTGTGTGTAATCACTACACACTGCTGATGATGCAGAGAGGGAGACAATGTGTGAAGTGCATCATGTGCACATTCAATCCGTGTGTGTGTTTGTGTGTGCGTTCAGATTGTGGAATGTGCTCACACTCACAAACTAATAATGGATCATTGCCAGCCACCATGGTGAGAGAGAGAATTGGTTTAAGGGGAAGTGAAAAGACATTGGTACACAGGGTCAGCCTTTGGTATGGTCTGCCCTCCTCTGGTCATTTTGGTCATTGCACCATTTCTGTCACATCTGCGTATGCCACTGCGCATGTTTTACTTGTTCTCCTACATTTGTGTGTTATTTTTGTTTCTGAAGCAGGTACATAATAAATCTTACTGGTGTTTTTTATGAGATCGATGGTCAATGTGTGTCCTTGTTGCCTTTGCTGTTGCAAATGTATTGAAGCCTTTCCTTCTGTGTTTTTCAGGTTCTACATAGAGAGTATATCCTACCTGAAGGACAACGCCACTATTGAGCTGTTTTTCCTTAATGCCAAGTCCATCATCTATAAGGTGAACTCATTGATTTGTTGCCATAATGCATATTCCTAATACTGTTTCCTTTTGATGATGAAGGGTGTATGTATCCTGAAAGGCTTTACTGTCTTATGTCTGGTAGGAATACTCTGTAATTTCAAAAACCAAGTCACAAGATTTTTGCTTAAAAAAAGTGGAGGTGTTCAGTGGTTGGAGTTATGCAGAGTATGTTGTTAGAAGCATGTCACTTCATTAGTTCTAAATGAAGAGACGCTACAAGAGGCCGGCTTAGACCTCGGTGCGCCACACTGATTTGGTGAAGCAGAAAATGTGAACCATTTGCATCAGCTGTTACCCATCATGTTATGTGCTGCACCACATTCCAGCAACTAGCGAATAATTTGACACATTTACTGCCATCTGTCAGTGTTTAAGCACATTAATTTCAGCTGTTCAAATAAACACTGACAGCAAGTTGCCCAAAAAGAAAATTGCAACCGGCAGAAAGCGCTTAAAATTATTTAGTAATTATATAAAAGTATATTTTGTACATTTGGTGACTGTCCCACTCAGGGAAGACGGTTTGTGTGTTTGCCCTACAGTTACCAACTCACTTCTTTTATCATTAGTCTATCTGCTGCCTCTGTCACATGGATATACTGTCGGCTGGTGTGAGGTACATGCAGTGTTACCAGTGGCAAGCAGTTATTTGTCATGTCCAGAAGAGGGTGCATGTGGCCTGAAGGAAAATAATGGGGCAAAAACACCACAGTGAGAAAGCCCTGTAGAAAAATGTGATGATGTCATAACATTCTGTACTGACAGTGGTAGCTTCATTAAATCTGGTAAATTTAAATATTGTGTATCATCTGTGAATGAACATAAAGCCAACTCCTCTTACCTGTATTGTTTGAGTTTTATAATGAGGAAAAAGTTAAATGTATGTTCAGTATAGTGCCTCATACACCGGTTTATTATGAGGGGTTTAAACATGTGCCTATAGTAAAGAAAATCTAACGCGGAGGTTTTAGGTTGTGTAGTTTAAGTGTAGTTGTACAGACTCTCAGTTCAAGCCCAGTCTGTCTTACTGTACTGTGGCCATTAGGGTGACACTGAAACTTGAAAAGGCAGTGACTATGTAGCCAAACAGTCAGGAAGAGACTGTTCTACAAACACAAGGTTTCTGATTCAGTCCTACCAGTAGCTCTGTTAAGATGTCTTTGAAGAAGATATCTGATGCCTATCTGTTAATTTATAACAAGTTGCCCTGATAAGAATGTCATCTTAACATGAGTGTTAAGTACAAATGATCTCCTTAGCAGCTTCAGCGGTAGATGACCCTGACGACCCCATGGAGGGAGAGAAGCAAAAAGAGAGCAAGAAAAGAAATATCACATACTGCAGCAATTTTAGATAAGATGTACACATTAGATTCTGCATTCAATGTGTATATAAGTAGTGACAAACATGTTCTGCTGTGCCGTGGGAACACATAAAGTACAATAACATACAGTATATGACGATTTGTAGCCACACTGGGTGGTACACCAAGGGTGGGTTTGTTCTGTCTAGTGTTTTATCCTGGCTGTGTGATCTCCCAACCAATTAAGAGGTGGATTGTAAGGCGAACATTCCTGGCATACTTGACCCACTACTCACTGCCCACTCACCCTTATCCTTCTCCCCCACAATGCATACATAGTATCGCATGTATATGTGTATATAACACTAATCATCATGCAGTTAAAGAAACATTTTCAGTTCAGTCCAATTTCACTCTCACACAGAGAAATTAAATCACCCATGCTTGCACTGCTCTGCCTCCTTCCTGCTACATGTCCCCTCTTTCTAATCCCCCAATCCCTGTACCTTTGCCCCAGGAATGTCCTTGTGTAATCAGTAACCAGTAACTCCATGCCTAGCCTCTCTCCCAACCCCCTTCACTTTGCCTCTAATCTCTGTGCTCCATCCACATGAAGAGGTCATGAAATTAGAGAAGGGAAAGAGGAAAAATGGAGGGGAGCAGTAGGGAGATGAAAGGATCTACTGACCCATCTTAGATAAATGGGTGATGATCATTTACTCCAAACATTGGCACAGTGTGTGGTTTATTTATTTAATTGCTTCCAGCAGTAGGAGAACGTGCCACTCATGGCTGCTGTCCTCTTCTCTCATTTCTTTTCTTCTTGCAGGAGCTTATCGAAGTGGACAGTGATGTTGTGTTTGAATTGGCTTCCTATATTCTACAAGTAAGAGAAAGTTTATTTGCGTGTTATGTGTGAGTGTAGATGTCTGTTTGGATATCTGTTTTTCAGCGTTAGCACATGGTGCCCAACACAACTAGTTATTACAGGGGGCTGTTGCTCTGCAATGAAACTGTTCTGAAGCAGTTTGAGGTTTTCTTCCAAAATGTCTCCACAAGCCTTTGATCCAAATTGACAATGATTAAACTCACATTATCTACTGTAGTCATAATTGGTGATGATTAAACTCACATTATCTAATGCAGTCATCAATCTGTCAGTAATCTGCAGTGACGCTGGGAGGTTTTAAATCCTGAAAACCTCAACTGTCTTTGTTGGTTGCAAGATTCTTGGCTATCAGCAAAAGTTCTTGGTGTCAGTCAGTGCTAATATAACACAGAGCAGCAGGGAAACTCTTTCACTTCACAAATTCTCCTCAACTCCAGCCCTTTCTCTCTCCTATCCTTCTCTCAGAGTAGGTCAGTCCATTAGCCGTGATGCTGCTAGGTCATGTTACACATCGACTGGGCTGTGTGTGTGTGTGTGTGTGTGTGTGTGTGTGTGTGTGTGTGTGTGTGTGTGTGTGTGTGTGTGTGTGTGTGTGTGTGTGTGTGTGTGTGTGCGTGCGCCCTTTATGCAGGTGCAGATGTACAGTATCAGGTGTCTGCTCTGTAGGCCTTCAGAGGTTTCCCTCCAGATGGAGGTTTCATGTTTCTCTCTGATTCCAGCAGAGCAGGCCTGACTGCATCTTCACCTATGCAAACAGAACATAAACACACATTTTATGGTCAGTGCTCACAGATCCATATACATAAACTGTCCTTTCTTTGCTCACCACTTTTCTCTTTCCCTTTCTGTTCCACAGGAGGCTAAAGGCGATTTCACCAGGTAAGAACACTAGCTCAAAACATTAGGAATGCCATTTGTTCGATATTAGCGTCTGAAGAAAAAAGTGAACTAACACTCTACTTCACCATTTTTTAAATCATATATTCTGTCTCATCTTCTAAGTATCTTCCCAAGTGACAAGGGGTTTATAATACTGATTCAGAAGGGGGATAGTGGGACAATAAAAGTGATATTAGTGATCTGAGGTTCATCACTGACATCTTTGTTTCTAAGCTTGATTGACATCCCTCCCTCCTTCTTTCATGCCGTCCCTGTTCCACATTAGTTCACTCTTTTCAGTGTGTGTGTGTGTGTGTGTGTGTCACTATGTGTGTGTAAAGAAAGACGAAACCATTATGAATTAAAAGATTTCCTTATATATCACCAGAACCTGTAAAAAAACCCAACTTTATTCTAAACAGAATCATCAGTCTTTTAACTCACAGCTATGGAGCTATAGAGCTTTCCAGTCAAACATGTTTCACATGAGCTGTGTTCCACATGTGGCTCTTCACATATACTTCTACGTTGGCCTAAATGTATATCATCCCTCATCCCTTTTTTGTAGCAGAGAAAACAGACTACAGCATCCATCACCTCTGACCTCACTTCCGCCGGTGAAAGGAGTAAATAAACGCAGTATCCTGCAGCAAGCTGGAATGTGACACACTCTGGAGACATTCCTTTTACCCTTCTCCCCCTGTCCTTAACCCTTCCTCCTACACACTCCCTTATTTAAAAGCTCTATAGACCCTGCCCTCTACATATGTCTTCATAACCACACAGTATACACTCTTTTTATTGGTTTTTCTCCTGTGCCTCCAGAAATACCCATTATGACCAGTAAGGTATAATTTTTCTAAACTAAATGTATAAAATAATTTGCCTTTGTCAAATTCAAATGTATCAGTTCAAAGAGCTTTATTGAACCGAGTGATTTTCTTGATGTTGGTTCAATAAGCTATATGAGTGTTATTGTGTTTTGCCTTCTTTCAATAATTTACAGGTATTTAAAAAAATATCTTGCAACAAGTGAATCTGCGTAGTAAACAAGTTGACTTTCTGTATTCATTTCAAATGATTTAAAGAAAAAACACGATTTTAAGACAACTTGTGAAGGTGAACATGTCACGATGCCATGGTGCACCCGCAGACAAGAACTTGTTCAAATTGAGCTCTTGCCTGCTCTTTCATCATGCCCAATGCCGAAGTTGTGCACAAAACCACATATACTTAATGAGTAGCTACTTGAATGGATATCAACCAATCCAGAGACACAGCTGTATTCACACATGGGATGGGATCTCTTCCAGGACTTTAGCTCATAGGTTGTCATGTTCTCAGGGCTTTCCCCAATCCTCTGGGGCCTTGGCGGAGGCTGGAGAGAGGCTAGGGGATTAGAGTGGGGTATTAAGATCTCCTGCCACTGGAGGTCTGAAAACTGAATTGGGTGCCAAGTCTCTTTGACTCTCTGTGTGGTTCCGTCTCATTAACTATATTTGTCTTTTGTCTTTCCCTCCTCCATCCCTGTTTTTATTTCCTTTTATCTTTATTTATTTATCTTAAGTGTTTCTGTCTGTGTTTCTTTGCCTCTTTTCTCTCATGTTTCTAACTGCCATTGTCTCTGCAGCTGTTCTTCTGTCCTGAGATAGACACTGCCCAGTTTCTGAAATAGAGAGCATTTAAGCCCTCAACATTCATTCCTCTCTCTTGACTAAACCTTTCCCACCGTTAACATTTCATTTCTAAGACGGTTCTGGGAAATATTCCCTTTTGCTTGAACTTGTTGCGCTAAATATTTTAGGTGTTCCTTTTTGTGCCATTCAGTGGCGTTGCCTAGTCAGTTTTTGAATGAAAGGCCTACAGCAGAGAATGATTGTTCTTGCAGAAGAAGTGTTGACCATGTCTTGTGGTTTCTCCCTCCCAGTAATGATGCAACCAGGTCTGACCTGAAAAAGCTGCCTGCTCTGCCCACCCAGGCCCTAAAGGAGCACCCATCTCTGGCCTACTGGTGAGAGACTAGTCAATTAACCAGAAAACCACCACACGATTGCACAAGCTCTCATTTTCCCCTTCATAATAATTTTCCTTTTTTCTCCTTATTGTACTGTCCTACAGTGAGGAGCGGGTCATAGAGCATTACAAGAAACTCAATGGGCAGTCCAGAGGACAAGCTATTGTAAAGTAAGTGTGTGTACGTCTCTCTGATTATGTTTGTCCAACTGTATAGAAGACTGTAACTCTCTGTAACCCTTACATGTCTGTCTTTCTGCTCCTCACAGTTATATGAGCATTGTAGAGTCTCTGCCCACATATGGAGTACATTACTATGCTGTAAAGGTACAGTTTTACTACTCTGCCTTGTATTCTTTTCACACACACGCACCACACACATTTTTGTTAACTGTGGACGTGCAAGCAGCCAGTTTAAAATTTGGAGATAAGATGGAGCTTAAAGCTATTTGTACATTGCATTCCTGTCTTTGTCTCTCTCTATCTCTTTCTCTCTGTTAATCCCGTACACATGCACAGCCTTCCTTAAGGTTTTTGTATTTTGCTGTTGTTGTTGTTGGGTGTTTAAGGACAAGCAGGGGATCCCATGGTGGTTGGGTCTGAGCTATAAAGGCATCTTTCAGTATGACCACCAGGACAAAGTCAAACCCAGAAAGGTGAGATGTTGCTCTGTCTGATCTCTCTGCACCACAAACAGCCCTCTGCACAGCCTTTAACCCCTCATTCAATGAGCTTTAAAACAGTAATTGCTATAATTACCAAAAACACACCATTCTTCCCCTGTGAAAAATATATGACTTCAAAACTATCTTTAATTTTTGGAACCTAATTCATTCATACTCTAATGGAGTGCTTCTTTAGAAGGAAATATATTCTCTGTCCTTCTGTGTTTGTTTTCACAGTCACCACTGTCCCATTTTTTTCCACGCAGTGAGTGAGGATATTGTGTTTGGAGAGAGCAGTAACAATGCTGTACAAATACTACTGTCTGGAGACATTCGGTCTTGGAATGTTTTGCATCCTGTCCTGCTTTTATTTCTGCCCTTCTGTGAATGGCGTCCTCCTCCCAGTCAGTGCACCCATTGGGTCGTCTGTGAAAGCCTTTCTTATCTTACCTCTGACCCCCAGTCCTGTTAAGGGCCTTGATCTCTGGCATTCAGCCATGTCTCATAGGGTGTTAATGGGGTTAACAGCATCCCCGCATACTTACCCACCACCATGACACTCACAAACACACACACACAGGAATTGGACTGAACTCTGAACTCACAATCCTGATGAATACTTCCTGTCTGCCTCAGCCTTCCTGTTTGCCACTAACATTGTGTTCTGTATGTGTCTTGATTAGTGCATTCCAGTCCAAAAGACTATTTCACCACTGAGCCCCATTCTTGCCTCATTCCCAAGTACTCCAAATATTGTAGCTGCTTAGGTGTTCACCATGGTGATGGAAAAAATGCAGTCCACTTGCAGTGCAATCCACTTTATCTCACATCGATATCACTGACACACACCGAAAACATGCTGGGAAACCTGTGGAAAGGTCACAGACTGTGTTTTGTCCTACAAAATGTATATACATGTTGGTTGACAGAGTGAGAAATGGCAAGTCATAGCTTTCTCGAAGTTAAATGCCACAAGAAAGAAGAAGGTATTTTAGAGAGAGATGGAGGGAAGAAAGAGTTAATAGCATTCCCACACAAGATACTTATCAAACATTCAGCTGCCATAGCAACAGTCAGTGTGAGTCATTGGTCCGTTAAGCTCCAGTACTGACCTCCTCACTTTCTTCCCCTCTCTCTGTGTGTGCACACATTTGGAAGCAGGAAAGAATAAGACGGGGCCTCCTCACCGCCCAAGTGTGATTGTAGTCTGAGGAGCTTGACCCAAAAGAGATTTGTGGACCGCATGTCTTGTTAATGGAACATCACAAGACTGATTAAATCCCAGTGTATACACTTTTTTTTCAGTAATAGGGCAGACAAAAGAGGGTGGGTGGTGCTTCTCTCCAAAGAGTTTCACAGGAACAGACACTCAGAGGTCACAAGGAGCTTTCCATATGTTATGGTAGTATTGAGAGTCATCACTATTTCAACATACCCGCGGAAGAGCAGTTGATTTGGTGATTAGTCAATCAGCCAGCCAGTCCAGTACCAGTAACCACTGACTCAGAGTGCACGCACTCATAAGTAGCTTGACGCTGCTGAAGTTTTCAGTCCTGTGAATCAGTGAGGTAGAGGCAGAGCACTAATTATGAGACTTTATTATTATTCATTAATAAGCAACTAAGCAACTTCAAGTGGTTCTGTATAATAGGTGTGTGAATGTACCGGAGGCAGTTGTGTTTAATTAGTTAGTCTTTTTATGAGGAGAGATCCTGCTGTTTCTAAATGCAGACCATCTACCGCACCCTCCACGTTTATTTGAGGATGTTAAAATACTTTTCCTGCTTTGCTCACCGCAGGCCACATGCATACACACATACAGTACACACAGATATGGGTTTACAACTGAACCACACACCGTACTGATGCCTCATTAGTGTGCTCTGAATCATTTAGGCAGAGATTATAGGGTCTATGTGTTGACTGACTACCTGGCTGACAGACTTAAAGCTAACATAGAAAGGCTCCTGTCAACTCTGTGTACACATCACAGGAAGGTTGAATCAAACACAGCTAACTATGGTTTAAATTCACGTCATCTCACGAACATTTCACTGCATATTGCTGTTTCTTTCTGCAGTGGATTGAGAATATCCACCCACTGACTTTAGTGAGCTTCTGTCTGTGTCTCATTAGAGCAAATAGGCACAACACGGCCTGTTCTGATTAGTTTACCATAAATGTCATCCCTCCAAAACACAAACAACCAAAACACAAGCAACAGGAAGTGCCCCCAGAGTGTATCTGCATCTCCATGACAACTGGTGGATATAGTATTGCACGCCAGAGCCCATCCCATGGGTGAAATAATAGTCTTTAAGACCCTCGGGTCCAGTTCTAGAAAAGAAAAATATCTGGCCTCACTACAGTTATACCGGCCTATGCTATTTAAACTTTCTATTCTTCCCGTAATCCCCAGGGGAGTCCGCTGCACCAAAGGAAGGCCTTTACACTCTATCAGATCTGACCTTTTCATCTGTAATGGATGTGTGCTAGGGAGCACAGACATTATTATGAGACCGACGTGGGGTCTGTGCACATGAGCACCCAGTTGTTCATGAATAATGACCAGTCACTTCCTCTGCTTGTGTGTCCTGCCATTGTGTGCGAGTGTTTTACAGTCAAAAGGAAGAGGATTTACAGCACATGCACGCCACACCCTCATCCTAAGAACAGAAGCACCCAACGGTGTTGAGTTCCTAAGAAAGAACCTGTCAGCCATGTTTTTATCAGATACAGTGCTATTCACTGTTGTATCAGAATGACTACAAAGGTTTTTGTTACCACAATGGGCTTATGTATCTGGTGCACTTTTTGATGTCTAATTTTAAACTGACTTAATTGCACCTTGTTGTAGAGCTTGTGACTGCTGTTTAAATACTCCGGATGTATGAACACTATTTGCACACAACGTATCCAGAAACATAAAAGTCTACTTCCAAAATTGCAGCATCTCTCTCCTGCTGATGGAGAGGACGGCTTTAGTGGTCTCGTGTCTGAACACAGTTACAAACACTTATATTATCTCCTCAGCTCAGGCCCATATGTAGCCAACACACACACACACACACACACACACACACAGTCACTCACTATCTACCCTGCCCGCTATATTTAGCACCATGCTACATTAGCACTTCACACTCCATTGAAAGTGTACGGTACAGCAACAGTTTTGATAAGAGCGCCGATTTTCTTTCCTCACACTCGTGCACGCACATACACACACATACAGTGCATCAAAACATACATAAGGTTGTTTACATACATATTTCTCCACCTCCTCCCCTTTCCTCCCTCTCATCGCTCTGTCCATTGTTTTCCCAGGCTGTTAAAATTCCTGGGCTGTGACCTGTTCCTCCCTTAGCTCCCTTTCTCCTTTTTCCTCCCTTATCCTGTCATAGCTGGGTCTTCTGCTGTACTTTGTTTCTTTTCTCCTGTTTGTCATTTCTTGCTGCTTAGTTTTACTTTCAAGGTGTGTGTGTGTGTGTGTGTGTGTGTGTGTGTGTGTGTGTGTGTGTGTGTGTGTGTGTGTGTGTGTGTGTGTGTGTGTGTGTGTGTGTGTGTGTGTGTGCGCTCATGTCTACTCCAGCTGATAGATGCCCACACTCTACTCTTTCTCTAACAAGAAACAGACTCAGACTTTGTGTGTGAGTGTGAGTGTGTGTGGGCACGCATACAGAGGTCTGACTAAACAAAGCAAAGGCACTTCAATTGCTGGGGCCGCAGAAAGCCTCTTTCCCCCTTCATCACTCCTCCCCTGACCCCTCGTTACACACACAACCACACACACACTCGTGCACGCACACACACCTCCCAACCACAGAGCCCAGAGCAGGAAGCACAGTCCCTGAGGGAGGGAGGAGGGGTCAGGAGGAGGGGAGGCATAAACGCCCCCTCCCTCCTCAATGCTCCTAGCAAATCTACAGGAGAGGAGGAAACTTAACATTACACACACTTTCTCTCAAGCAATACACACATGCCTGCAGATGGTGAACACCCGCCAACTCATAACTTTCTGTTCCCCTTGCGTCTGGGAGGATTTAAGATACACACATGCTGTGGAGTACGTCTTGGGTTTAACTTTCTCGCCCAGCTGGCTTTGGCTGCATTTAAAGAGGAGCTGATGGTTCGTAAAGGGCACGGAAAAGAGGGGGGAAAAAAGAAAAGCCGAGCAGAGGAAAGAAAGCCCCCTCCCTCTCACACCACGCTGTCTTTCTCCAGAGTGAGGTCATCCAGCGAAGGGATCCGCTGTGGACAGACCGCCTGGTCTGGACCTGATCAGAGAGCCCCAGACTAGGTTCTCCCTCCTCCACCTCCTTCTCTGTTCCTAACTCCTCCTCTTTGTCAGCTTCTTTTTATTTTTTTTTCTCCTCCTCCGTATTATGCATTGCATTTTCTCTCAAAACAAATTGGAACATACAGAAAAGAGAACAGAGGATTTGGCTGAAGGCTGTGTGGATTGAATGTGAAACATGCTTTTTGTGTGAGCAGCGCTGAAGAGAGTGTGTGTTTCTCCTGAACTTCAGGTGTTCCAATGGCGTCAGTTGGAGAACCTCTACTTCAGAGAAAAGAAGTTTTCAGTGGAAGTTCATGACCCCAGGAGGTAAATTTATATCACAAATATAAGGCTGTGTGAACTTGCTACTGTGCTCTTGTTGAAACAATTTATCTGTGGGGGTTTGTTACATTATAGACTCAGCTCTTCATTGATTGGATGGTCATTATCTCATACCAGTTGTACTTTAGAGATTGAATGATGAACTTTCTCCAGCTAGTATATGAAAAGTGATAGAAATTTCCCTCAGTTGTGGACACCTTCCAGCAATGTAAATTACCACTGTGCCATATGTGAATGTGTTAAGATACAAACTACATACACTGCAGTACAGGAAGGGAGAGATTGAAATCTAATTCAGTAATGGTTGCAGCATATGTCTTGGCAATTGAGCAAAATATTGGGGATGTCCCGGTGGAGCCCGACACAGATTAATAGGCTGATTAGTAACACACTTGTGTAGTCTCATGATGCATAAACACATGTGCTCTTTCACACACACACACATATACACACAGGGCAAAGCCTTGTTAGTTGGCCACAGAAGGATAGATGACTGATAGCTGTTTTGCGGAGGAAGTGACCTCTCTTGTGTTTATTTAACATTTAACATGGCTATATATGTGGAGTGTTATTCTACAGACGCGGGGAGGGAGGGAATGGGAGAAAAAGAGACAGACAGGGTGAAAGAAAGAGCAGTGGTGTTTTCTTTAAAGGAAGCTGTCATTAGGGTGAGCTGGGCTGTTGCTCAGCTACAGATGTGTGTTTAAATAAGGATGAGTAAACAATGAGGAACGACGTGTGTGGCTTTGCAAAAGAATATCTCTATCAGGAATATTTTTCTCCTTAACAGCAGCAGTAGCAATTGCGTTAGTCATGGTGGGGATGTGTTCACTGTTAATGTAAATATGTAGCCAATATATATTCAGTGTATATAAGGAGGCCTTGTGTCCGCTCCTACTGTAGGGCGTCGGTGACGAGAAGGACATTTGGTCACAGTGGCATCGCTGTGCATACGTGGTACGCCTGTCCTGCCCTCATCAAGTCCATCTGGGCCATGGCCATCAGCCAACACCAGTTCTACCTGGACCGCAAACAGAGCAAGGTCAGTCAGGCCCTCCAGATACGCACTCACACCACAGACAACAAACTCAGTAAGCCTGGTCAATAAGGGTTAACAGCTTAATAATGTACTTTGACAAACCCTCTCCGATCTTTTCTGTCCAGTCTAAGATCCATGCAGCGCGGAGTTTGAGTGAGATTGCTATAGATCTCACGGAAACAGGAACTCTGAAGACCTCCAAACTGGCCAACATGGGCAGCAAGGGCAAAATTATAAGTGGCAGCAGTGGCAGTCTGCTCTCCTCAGGTCAGTATGTGTGTGTGTGTGTGTGTGTGTGTGTGTGTGTGTGTGTGTGTGTGTGTGTGTGTGTGTGTGTGTGTGTGTGTTGTGAGCGTGGGCATTTTGTGTTTGCATGTGTGGCAGCGAGGGGGAGTCTCATTGACAACTGGAGAGACAGAAACAGCTGCTTCTGGAAAGAGGCCATTGATTCTTTGCTGAATGTTCACACACACACACAATGTACACACACCCCACCCATCGTCGTTCTGTATATACAGAACACCATTCCCACCCTCCGTGTCACACAGACTCATCCTCCAGAGGCCCCTGCCCTCTCTAAATATAGTGGGCGAGGGAATGAAAAGGGCAGCGGGTCAGTGTACAACTTTTCCACAATGCTTATTTGAACAAGAACAAGTAATGAGTGTGACAGGATGATTTGTGCACACTCAGTCTGATCTCTCCATAGATCATCTTCTGGATCGGATCAGTTTTTTTCCTTGACCTCTTTTCTCATAATAGATATATGTAACTCCCTCCCTAATCCCTTCCCTTTAGCTCCTCAACAATCAATTGCTGGTCTCCTAATCTCCCTTTTCTGTACTCTTCATATCATACAGGGTGTCTCTGCCATAGCTGTCTGCGTCCCGTCACTTGTCTCATTGATGTCAGTGTGTTGATTTCATGATCCACTGCTGACTGGAGGCCGTCTCTGCCCAGCAACATAAACATGTCACATTCATGCACCTCCCCTCCCGCCACAGCCAACATGTCTCAGTCTCACTGTGGCTGAATAGCCACATCTAGATCATAGAGTTTGTATGATCAATTTGAAACCCTGGTGGCTGCAAACGAGGCACTTCGGGAATATGGCTGTTCAGCATCACTTAACACACCAAAGTATATTTTGTATTTTAGCTGGAACAACAGTTGGATGGTCACTGTGAGGGTTTGTGTAGTTATATATAGTACATCTTGTAACAATAGAGAGATTTAATGTTTCTTTCAGCCACAACTGTTTGAGAAGTGGTTAGTTGTTGCTATGTTTCACAGTGAACCGCATAGAGTCACTGAGAGAGCAACAGACAGAAACAGATTGTGTGTTGGATGTTTTCTTATAAGGCATGTTGCAAACAAGGCTGGCACAATCTCAGGGCCTTAGAGATCGTGCGTCACAGACTTTGTTCTAAACTGCCCCTTCCTTGAAACGCTCACACTCACACAAACAAAAACTCAGTTTTCTTATTGAAATGTTCCATTCACTTCCATGTAAACATCCTGCGTGGCTGGCAGGTGCACACACGATTTCTAGCTTCGCTCCACAATCTGCCTCGAAAGAAGTCCCCACAACTCCAAACACAAACACATATGCTGCAGACTCCTGCCCTCATGTAACATGTTGTCTGTACCTGCAGGTTCTCAGGAATCGGACAGCTCCCAGACAGCTAAAAAGGACATGCTGGCAGCACTGAGGGCCAGGCAGGATGCACTGGAGGAAACGCTAAAACAGAGACTTGAGGAACTCAAGAACATCTGCATCAGAGAGGCGGTATGAGAAAACACAGAGAGATTTAGCAAATATTTGGAATACCATAATGCTTACTAGTGCTTCTTTTCCAACTTAATTTATGTCCCCTTTTTGTTTCCTAGGAGCTGACAGGAAAACTTCCCAAGGAATATCCACTGGATCCAGGAGAGGAGCCACCCATAGTGAGACGGAAGATCGGTACTGCCTTCAAACTGGACGAGCAGAAAATTCTTCCTAAGGGAGAGGTGAAGCTTCAACTGCCTGTTCTACTCAGTGGCACTTTATCACACTCTCAAATCTCCAGGTCAAAATAAATAAATAAAAACAGGAGGTCATCTAGTGGTGTCAGTGTTTGAAACAAATACATAATACCACAAGTACCTGTGTCAGGCACTGTGATGACGTTATTGTAATGTTAATGATCCGTTTATGAACAGAGGATCAGAATTAGAGATGAAAACTGGTGTTTTGGAGTATAGTTACACAGTTGTTCAGGATTAACCAAATGCTTTAAACTCCTATAATGGTTGGGATGATGATTGACATAAGAGATCACTAATAATTTGGAAACAGAACAGTGAAAAGCCGCAGTCTAAGACGTCTTGGACCTTGTAAAAGTAGTTTCACTGCATGTCTTTTTTGTGCCACGGGTAGATTTTCCAGAGCAGCAGAACTTCTAAAAATAGTCTGGCAGCATTCTCACCACAGGAAGTGGTGATAGTAGGATTGTGCACGCGCCTGTATGTGTGCAGACATGTGTGTGTGGGTGTGTGTGTGTGTCGCTGAGGTTGTATGCTTTGAAAAGAATCCAGGGACACAATCTTGCAAAGCTGCCTTGCAAGCAGTAAGACGTTTCTTAATTTAGACTGAACACCTTAAACTCATATACACACAGAAACAGAAGCCGCTCTGGCAGTAGAGTGAAGGGGTTGTTGTGGAAAGGGATTCCTCAGAACTGAGGTAGTCCAGAAGGATGTGGACCCAAGTGAATGCATCATCACTCTGTCTCTCTGGAGGCAAGTGAAATCATGTGTGTGTCCTCACATATAGGAGTGCATGCTGGACACAGTGGGTTTCACAGGATTGCCAATGAATACATTTCCTTGTCTATAATTACATTCACAATTTTCTACTATACTATAATATTCAACATCTTGATACACATTTTGCAGTGCAGTAAACATATATGCAATACATTTGAGTTGACAGAGCGTGTTTTACTTGGTCCACTAATGGTCTCTGCTCCACAAATCTCAGGAGGAGGGGAGGATGGATTGATGGAGAGGTGTTATTATTCGGGGGCAGAGTGTCTCAATAGAGAATACCCAGTGGTGAGAAAATGCAGGGCTGTAGCACAGATAAATGATTTCCGCAGTGTGTTTTCTCTGGCAAGGCTTTGTGTGTGTGTCTATCCAAATACGTTATATGGGAGAGTTACAGTCTGAATACTTGTCTGCAAACTAAGCCTTGTTGGTTTTGGATTGTGTGTATATATCTGTTCCTAAAACTGTGAACAAATCCAGTGTCTTTGTGCTTGTGTTACTCAGAGTTTGCCTGTGTGTGTGTGTGTGTGTGTGTGTGTGTGTGTGTGTGTGTGTGTGTGTGTGTGTGTGTGTGTGTGTGTGTGTGTGTGTGTGTGTGTGTGTGTGTGTGCTTATCCCAGGAAGAGGAACTGGAGCGTTTGGAGCGGGAGTTTGCCATTCAGTCCCAGATTACAGAGGCAGCCAGGCGTCTTGCCAGCGATCCTCACGTGAGCAGCAAGAAGCTGAAGAAACAGAGGAAGACGTCTTATCTGAACGCACTGAAGAAGCTCCAGGAAATTGAAAACTCAATCAATGAGCACCGGGTCCGCTCCGGCAAGAAGCCTACACAGCGAGCGTCGCTTATCATAGAGGGTACCAATGTACTCCTATTCACTATAAGACAGTCAGATTGTTTTCATATCTCTTTATTTCTGTTTGCTGTAGTTGCCACCACACACAGTAGTATGCAGTGCACATGCAGTATTTGGAGTGATAAAAGTATACACATTGGATATTTCCAACATTGTTGCTTTTTGGATACATCAAAGATTTGTAAAAACATTTAGATACACCTTTAGATTTTGTAATTGTACGATCCACAATATCTTTGTTTCTCTGTCTTATAGAGGCCAATATTGGTTCTGAAGACAGTTCATTGTCTGACGCACTGGTCTTGGATGATGGTGAGTCTCTATTCTTCACATTACTCCAACAACAACATTGCACTAATATGTGTGCTTTTGTGGCTCATGATGTTTTTATTAAATGTTATCCAATCTTAATTGCTCTAACTTAAGTCTTGAACTTCATTCTTATTTCAGATGACCCTCAAGTTACAGGTACCCCCACCTTCTCTCCAGTAGCATCGCCTCACAAGGGCCTCCCTCCTCGACCACCATCTCATAGTCGACCTCCTCCACCGCAGTCCCTGGACGGCCTGCGACACTTGCACTACACGCGATCCGACTACGATAAGTCACCCATCAAACCCAAGATGTGGAGTGAATCGTCACTGGATGAGCCCTATGAAAAAGTCAAGAAACGCTCCTCTCACTCCAGGTATGAGGGAGTTTGTCTTAACTAACCCTTAAATAGACTGCTTAAATAGACTACTGCATATTATTATGTAATAAAATGTATTATATTATATTTTCCATGACTCTTTGTCAAGTCACAGGCGTTTCCCAAGCTCTGGCAGTGCAGAAGCAGGCGGTAGCAACTCTTTACAGAGCAGCCCCATTAGGAACCTCCCTCACTGGAATTCTCAGTCCAGCATGCCGTCGACCCCGGACCTGAGGACCAGGACCCCACACTACGTACATTCCACTAGGTCAGTTTTTAGACCTCTATATATATATATACACACATATATAACAGATTATATACAACTATAAAAATGCCTAGTAATTAAAAGACTCCCATCTCCACAATTTTTTAAAACTCCAACTCAGCTCTCATATTCCTCTGTGATTCTGCATCTTACAGGTCAGTGGACATCAGTCCCACACGTCTGCACAGTCTCGCTCAGCACTTTAGGAACCGCAGCTCAAGCCTCGAGTCCCAGGGCAAACTGTTGGCGTCCGACCCCGACACTCACCCGCATACCCTGGGCACACTGGGCAGTCCTGACTTCTTCCTGGGCCCAGGACGCAGCTCCAATGGCTCTGACCCACTGGACGACTGCTCATCCTGCACCAGCCAAAGCAGCTCAGAGCATTACTACCCCTCTGGTGGACCCCCCGGCAGCAACCCCAACTACTCTACTCTGGGAGAGGACTCCCCCTCCAAAGCCAGGCAGAGGCAGAGGCAACGGCACAGGTAAGGGTGGAGATGCAGGGAAAGAAGCTTTCTTTACACAGTTGCTTTTTCGGCTACATCTATTGTATATACAGTTCTGTAGCAAGATTATTGTATGTGTTGTCTTTTGTTCTCTCTCCAGGTCTGCAGGCCACCTGGGCTCCTCTAACTCTGGCTCCATGCCAAACCTGGCAGCTAAGAACAGCTCTGGTGGTGGCTCAGGTGGAGGTGTGATGGGAGGGGGACACCATGGAGTTTACCTTCACAGCCAGAGCCAGCCCTCCTCCCAGTATCGCATCAAGGAGTACCCACTATACGTGGAGGGCAGCCCCAACCCTGTGGTGGTTCGCAGCCTGGAGAGCGATCAGGAGGGCCACTACAGCGTGAAGGCCCAGTTCAAGACCTCTAGCTCCTACACGGCCGGGGGACTGTACAAGGAGGCCTGGGGGGGAGAGGAGGGAGGAGAGGGGAGCGGCCGACTCACGCCGTCACGCTCTCAGATCGTACGGACTCCATCGTTGGGGCGAGAGGGTGGTGGTGGTGGAGGGGGGAGGGCAGCAGTGTCTGAAGAGCTGCGGTGCTGGTACCAGAGGTCCTCAGGGAGCCTGAAGGAGAGGAGTCACTCACATTCAGGTTCTACCTCCTCCGAGACGGGGTCACAGCAAGGGACTCTGGGACATGGTCGAGGGAGCAGAGTAGGGACACTCGTCAAGGGTTCTCCAGGTGGGTTTTCTTCTTTAGTTCACATTAAGGCCTTCTCATATAGGTAAAGAACATGATCATGTGTTTTAAGTAAAAGCCTTAGAAAGGTCCTGTGTACAAACATGTTGTTTATTCTGAGTTTCTGTCTATAAATGTGCAGTTTAGAAAACACTACTCACACTACTGCGCCAACGAGGCATGTTTAGTGTTGTCACCTGTGTGTCTTTAGAGATTATAACACACGCTGATTTATTTTGTTCATCAAACATAAGGCTTCTTAGATTAGTAAATTTTATTCTTAGTAAATTCTTTGTGTGAGGGCAAAAAAAAACCTACACTGCCCCATGTGAGGCTTGAGCTCACGATCTTTAGATTATGAGACTGACGCGCTGCCTACTACACCAAGAAGGCCTGCTTTGTCTGACCTGGTGTGCCTTTTGTGTGACATGACCCCTGAGGCAGGGTCTGAGGTCTTTGTGTTACACACACCCCCTAACCCCGTATGTGAAACATAATTGAAATTCCTCTGCCCCTCACATCACTGGAGCCTCTATTATGTGTATTTTCTCTGTCTTTCTGAATCTCATGCTGCATGTGTTGTATCTCATTTAGCATGACTAACAGGTCAGTTCTCCCCATAGCTGCATCCCCTCACAGCCAGAGGAGTATGACGCCCTCCAGTGAACACGCAGCCACGCCCACACCCCCCTGTAGCCCACAGCACATCCTCAACTGGCAGACCGGGTAAGACACACACTCAGCTGCAGACCGGGGTGACAAGACGTTGTACTTAGTACAAACTACTTAGCTTCTTTCTCTCAGTCTTTATTCAGACCTCACTCTAACATCCGGACACGCTTTGACTGTCTGTTGTATCTGTGTCAGCTGATTTTGTTTTTTATTGTTGAACTAATCCTAAAGAATGACTTTTTATGTGATTTTCAAACCTTTTCCATACTCATAATCAAATGGTGTTACTCCTCTCGACTTTTCATTCTGCTGTTTCTGTTTCCCTCACTGCATCTGTGTTCCACGTTTCTTCACTCTTTTTTTTCAACCTTTTCTCTCGTCATTTCTCACGCCCTCTGATTGCCTTTTCCTCATTCAAAATTCTCTTATTACCTAATATTTGTCATTTCTTTCTTGCCCCTCTTTCCATCTGTACTAACCCTACATTTCCTTGTGTGTCTGTCCTCTCTCCTGGTTTAGAGGCACAGCAGACAGCTCTCCTACTGAGGACGTCTGTCAGTCTCCCCCTCAGCCCAGCTCTGACGCATAGAGGTACCGTCTGTGGTCTCGGCCTCCCAGTGGTCTGAACCTACAGTGTACTGTTGGGAAAACACAGCAGCAGCATAACAGAGAGCAAAATAACCTTGAAGCAAAAATATAATGTGACAGTAGTGCCAGAGTCACTCACAATCAGACATTTATTCATAGAAATCCATGGGTACACAAAAAGTATTCGCACTCATGCGACATTTGCTAGTCGCTTACATCATCAACTGTGGGGGGCTGACAATGGGGAATGTGCAGAGTTTCTTTGCTCTTTGATGGTGGCGGTATCTTTGTCATTTACTCTTTCTCTGGCTGTATCTGTGTCTGATCTCCGCATGTGCTCTCTCTGTGGTCTGACACCAACACTTACGGGATTTACTAATAGAAATACTTAACCATCTGCTGTATGTGCCGTAACAGAGAACATTCTTTAACAAAAATCTCAGGAGCAGATAAACACTTGAAACCTTTTAGATGATAGTATCTGGAATGTTAATTTACCTTTTGAAATGCAACGCTTTCCTCTGAAGTCAGTCTTATCTCGGTCTGTGTCGTCCTCTGCAGGTCTTTCAGTGACAGCTGTTTTCTCACCAGCCCCTTGTGTTCAGAGTTGGCAGATGTGCAGTGGTACGGACACGACAAGGCCAAACCTGGGACCCTGGTCTGAGACCTTCCGATAGGGCCCAGAAAAGTCTCTCCTACTGTCCCTCACTACTACCCATCGACAACCAACAACCTCATCCTAATGGCCCTACAAAAAACCCTGCCCTGGCCGGAATGGCGGACTGGACACGAGCCTCCCTCCTACCTAAATCCTGCCCTTCATCCATCTCACCACCACTTCATTATTATGCCCCTCTATCACAGCTCAGCTGGACAGGAACTCACTCAGTGGGCTCTGATAAGGGCTGATTTCACAGGACAGACTGAGAAGTGCTACCTCAGCTGTTGAACTGTTGCCCTACAGCACATCAGAGCCTGTTCTTTACTCACCCTCAGCACACAAGCAATGGGGGGAAGGAGCGACTGGAAGAGAGAGCACACAAAAATATCAAACATACAGCTCAAACTCATCAGAACCAACATCGGCATTTCCAGGATCTGTCACATATTAATAACTCCAGTGCACTGCCACCCAATCAGAGGATACCTGCTGGATTTGAGCCACCAGTTTAAAACCCATTTCCAGGCCCAAATGAACTGTGTTGGATTTTATTATTGCCATTAACGTCGTTTGTCTTGTTTGTTTATTCCTCCCTGCGTATTTATAAAGAGAGAAGATGAAACAGACATTTCCCGGAAAATCTGGATTAACAAACATTTAGATGGCAAACTCAGCTCCTCTCAGTTTAACCCACAACCAAAGACAACTACTGGAATGACTGGTCACACCAGGGTCCCTGCGCTGGTGCCCCCTGCAGAAAAGCAAGTCGGTCAATTGTATGAGAGTGAATTCACAATGACGAAATCAGGATGGTTTATGGGACTCTTATCTGGGATTTTGATGAGGACTATAGCAATAACAAACATTGTACAAGTATATGAACTGGCTTGAATCCACAGTGAATTGAAGCAGGCATTTTGCCGTGTTTTCTGCCTTGTGATGCTTTGGAGTAAGGGATTATTAGTGCATCGTGGGGAAAATTTGGAATTGTGGTTATTGGGTTTGGCATTAATCTATGCTTATTTCAGTGACTTCATCATTCATGTTTATTTAATGTCTTTGGTCTTGACATGAGTTCTCTGTCCACAACAGTTTGTTTGACCACATGGTGCATTGTGATCACTACTAAGCCAGTGCGTTTGAAGCTGGGGTTAACATGGCCACATCAAGTCACAAGTACTGCAACATTTGATTCTTGCTGTCATTTTGAAATAGAAACAAGACTTTTCCATTTTCACCGCTGGAAGTAAAATATGATTGGCTACGTTACTTGTGTTTGATATTGAGGCTGTTCAGAGACAAGTGAATCATCTTTGTTTTTCATCATGAACTGTCTCTTTTTCTCCTTTTGGTCTTGGCTCTCTACTGGGTCTAATCATGCTGAGTATATGTCAGTCCCTTTTGTAGCACTGTGTTTTCTCTCATCTTTCTGTCCATCTCTTTTCGGCATTGGCAGGAGCATCCTGACTGAACACATATTACGGGCACGCGAGTTTATCAGTGCCAAACATGTCGGTGCTTTATTATAGTTGCTGTAATTCAGCCCTGAAACGACCACTCCTTCAAGTTACAAACCCCTTCACATTCCAACAGTAAATCCCCACAGTATATAGCCACTGTATGAAACAGCAGCAAGCCAGTTATTCAAACGTACTTTGAAAAGCACAACATTAACAGTGTCCGAGGGCTGAACCTACAATTGGTGTGTTCTCAATTTCCACTCTCAGTGTTTTAATAATGAGTTGTATCAAAGTGCATAAGAGGAAACTAGAGAAGTTAGACACGATAGTGCTCTTTTAATTAGTAGATGGACATGGAGTTCAGGTTGACAGTAATAAATACCCCACTGTCAGGGCAGAAGAGAAGCCATAGCCTGGGCTGAAACAAACCGTTCTTTCAAAACACAAATCAATCAACAATCAGATATTCAGAACAGGGTTAGAAAAGCACACCTGGTTTTGTACGAAAGAAGTAGAACTCTGCATGTTTTAGCTGTCCATGAATCTGTCTCCCTCATCTTTCCCTACCCGGAGTTTATGTTGACAATTATTATTTAATTGTCAAAAAAAATCTGAATTAATCTTAAAACATATTCAACATCTCAGTGATGGAGAGAAGTGGGGTTTTTTCAGTCTTATAGCACCATTACGTCCTGGTAAATGGTGTAACATGCTGTATGAAACATATCTTAACCTGTCCCTCGTAGTGTTCTGTTTCCTTTATGCACTGACATCAGTTGTTGTAATCTGCCACTTGCTAGACTATTTAAATAAGAAGGTTTAGCCCACTCCCTGCATGGTTGGTTCTCCAAGAGTTGTCCACCCATGCCTGGTCAAAATTCCCCAGAATTGAAACCAGCACTCCATGGTTACCTTCTCATAGGAATGAATTACTCCAGAATACTCAAGTCACCTATTAGAGAACACCTTTGACCTTGCTTTGCTCACTCAAAGACTCTGCCCACCATTTGTGTGCTAAAGACACAACCCCATGCATGCTCTTCAGATTCACTGACAAATAAAGAAAGAACGACAAGACGTTCAACATCCGACTTCTGTACGCTAACATTAGCACGTCTCGCTCCATAGTGTTTCTTCCCCCCCAGAAAGGCCCATTTTGACCTTGTGGTAATCTCTGACCTCTGAGCCCGATGTGAAGTGTGACATCCCTCCCCCCTGTAGCTCCAAACACCATATTTTCTGTGCTCCATAGAAATGTGTGAGGTTTTTGTAATACTTCAAGAGAAATTAACTAACTCTTTTATCAGTCTTTTCCTGTTATGTACGGAGGGGCACTGTAAGGTTTTGTGGGGTTTTTAACATTCACATTCATTGTTTTAACAATGTTCCATTTTATATGAACCAGTATTGTTTTTTTGTTTTAGTTCTGACATTGTAACAACCCTTTCAGGTGCTACAAAAATGACCAGTTACTGCTTTGTCACGTAGGATCTAGACATCTTCATTGTTATCGATAGATTCAATACCAGGTGTGCAAAATAAAGCTTATTTTAACAAACAGTTTAATAGTAGAACACTTCCCCTACCAGACAATAGAGCATGTAACTTGATTTTATCAGTTCTGTTCAACTGTAACAATACATTAAAGGTGTTGTAGAAAACAAAATGTGGAATTGAAAAAAAAAAACTAAATTCCACAGTTAATTTATTCTTTTTTTCTATTAAAAATTTGTATAGTAACTTTACATTTTTCAAAACTGTGTTGTTGGAAAATTGATGATGAATTTTCAAGATGAGAAGGCGTGGTGGTTCTTGAGAGTAAGAAAAATAAATTATTGATGAATGTTCTCAAGATTATGCCTTTGTCTGTGTTCTTTTTTCCATTTTTTTTTTTATTCAAAACCATGTTATACAAAATACAAGTTACTTAGCCATTCACTCACTCCCAGGAGCTCAGTCCAGTCCTTCCTGTTGAAAGGTCAGAGTATCAGTCAGAGGTATCAAAGGAAATCTTCACATGTAGTCACCACTTCTATTCCTCGGGACACAGTCACTCTCTTGTCATCACATCCGGGCCTCAGTCACTTCCCTCTCACACTCTGGCCCTCCCAAGAGAAGGAGGATTTCAAAAGGAAGATATACTCCAAAGATAAAAGATATTACTCATCGGCCAGCAGCAGAGCACGAGATTAAACAGCTGCACAGATGGATCTAGGCAGACATTTTGCCGTTTTAGATTTGCATGCCACTATGTCGTGTGGTTGGTTACTAACTCAGATCACAATGAAAACTCTTTCTTTGTGTAAATGCAACATGGAACCGTTCAAGTGTACTGGCAGGCGATGCAGACATCTGAACAAATGGATTATTTGTGCAACAGAACATGTAAACTCACATCGTGAAACACCGGTAATAAAGACAACAAACACGCAAACAGTAGTTGTGATAGTGTACCACATAGAAAAGTGGTTTCTACCAGAGGAATCAGTTGTCACTTTCTCGTCATCCTGCTTTCTTTTATTCTCCTTCTGTTCCCATTTACTAATAAATCCCATGTTACTCTTTGTGTTCCCATAGCAGCTCTCCCAACCAGGCAACAGCTGGAAGCTGTTAGCCAGACATGTCGTGAGAAACTAGCTCCTCTGTGATTCTTTTCACTCATACAAGTCTGTTTGTGTGCGTATTTGTGTGTGTGTGTACGCTTGCTATAGGAGTGGTATATTACTGTGCTTTATATTCTTAATTAAATCCTCCATCATTTAAAACACATCACAACCTTCACTGTGTCTGTACTCTGTGTACTCTTGGACGTCTATCTGTGTGAGGACCAGACTGAGTTTTAGACCATGAAAGTGAGGACATCACTATGACCTTCCGTTAAATCAGTTTTAGGGCTGGGAAAACGTTTTTGGGTTAAGGTTAGAATTAGGTTTAGTTTGACGTTATGGTAAAGGTAAAGGTGAATGTTAGACATAAATATCTGCTCTGAATTGAGACATCTGAAGACATCGATGCAGGCTTACTAAAACAGAACATTTACTTACACTCAGTTATCATTAGATTAAAACAGTGAATTCACAATCTACAGATCATATTGTTATTCTCACACAACAAGAGCACTTCCTGCTCCTGACAGTGTTTATATTTTGAAGAGAAGATAACCAGGCTCCCTTGATTTTATTACTTACATTTGGGCCAGACTTTGCTCTTTCTCAAGGGAAGTTCAGTACAATAGTATAGCCTTATACAGTGGAAACTGCTTATGTGAATCATTACCATGCAAATGTTGTTTAACTAATTTGCTTACAGTAATCAAGTAGTCCGCTAACAGTGTTCATTTAGGTTCTTTTCATACATGACATATAGGGAGAAATCTGAATATTTGATGTACGTCAGATGCGTTTGTTTTCAAACTCTGCCACCAGTTTGGCATTGATAGCCTACAGTTTATTTTCAGGCTTGTTAAAAATTTAGAAATCCACTGAACCTACCACCAAGCTGTGGCTTAGTAACCTTTGTGCACTACAGTCGTTATTGTATTTGTGAACAGCCCAGTACTGTTTTAGGCTAAAGCCCAATTACTATTTGAACTAAAGTAAGCTGTATTTTTATTTTTATTTTACAGTACAGTTTCTTGCATTACTGTATAGTGTTTGGATTATAAACAGTACAGTCATTAAATTTGAACGTTAATTTGAAAAGCGTTTGAGAAAGCTGTATTGTATTTTGAAACAGTCAAAAAATCAGTAAATAGCAAGCTGCCTGTTTCATTACTTTATATTCATGTAATAAATATACAGGTGTCAATTAGATGGTAATCTGCATGAGGAATAAAGAAAAAGAAAGAAAACTGGTGAAAGAAAGAAAGAAAATTGGTGTGTGTGTATATATATATATATATATAGTACTGTGCAAAGGTTTTAGGCAGGTGTGGAACTAGAACATAAAGGAAAGTGAACAAACTGAAGAAAAATGCTGTTTTGAAAGGGTGGTCACGCCAAATATAGATTTTATTTCCATTTTTCTTCTGTTCACTCACCCACTTAATATTTTTTGGGACATACTCCAAACGTTGTGGTCATTATACTGTGGCTCCTCGAGTTAAAAGTATATATGGATAGAATTGTTGTAGTCTGATGACACATTCTCTTTCACTTTCTCTCATCTCCAGCGATTGTGATGAACTCCCTTGTTAACTTTTTGATGATGTCACTGGTTGTGGATTACCGTGTGGGATGTAAATATGCATATGGCTATAGCTGACACTTGTAATTAACCTTTAAAAGTAAATTAAAGTTTGGCATAAACTTAGCAATAAAGTTATTGCAGTTGAGCGTGTGGTCATCTTCTCTTCAATGCATGTCCTCGCCCTGACCAGTACCTAGTCTTTGGTGTTCAGTCACCATACAAAACATCCGCTGGTCTGATTTTAATCTTTTATTGGCATCTGAAGTAAAAAAAAAAAAAAAAAACCTGCATCCTCTATTTCACTCTAAACGGGGGAGTCGATTTGTTGAGCAGGTTGTGCAACATGTTAAATCAGTGATAATGCCGCCCTCTAGTGTTGACAACAGAGCAGGAAAAACTGGAAAACTATAATCAGTTTTAACAACTGTGAAAACATGTATTTTGTTAGTGTTGTTGCTGTGTTGTGTTTTATATACACCCCTACTTTTTTAATATGCTGCTTATTTTTTGGAGTTTTCAACTTTGCAGTTCGTTTGGGGAAGGTTAATTTTGATTTTTTGGGAATCCCAAAGGAGAAGTGATACTGAGTCATCAGTTAGCTGACATGATATACACAGCTCAAAAAAATAAAGGGAACACTAAAATAACAAATCCTAGATCTGAATGAATGAAATAATCTCATTAAATACTCCTTTCTTTACATAGTTGAATGTGCTGACAACAAAATCACACAAAAATTATCAATGGAAATCAAATTTATCAACCCATGGAGGTCTGGATTTAGAGTCACACTCAAAATCAAAGTGGAAGACCACACTAGAGGCCGATCCAGCTTTGATGTAATGTCCTCAAAACAAGTCAAAATGAGGCTCAGTAGTGTGTGTGGCCTCCACGTGCCTGTATGACCTCCCTACAACGCCTGGGCATGCTCCTAATGAGGTGGAGGATGGTCTCCTAAGGGATCTCCTCCCAGACCTGGACTAAAGCATCCGCCAACTCCTGGACAGTCTGTGGTGCAACTTGGCGTTGGTGGATGGAGCGAGACATGATGTCCCAGATGTGCTCAATTGGATTCAGGTCTGGGGAACGGGCGGGCCGGTCCATAGCATCAATGCCTTCCTCTTGCAGGAACTGCTGACACACTCCAGCCACATGAGGTCTAGCATTGTCTTGCATTATGAGGAACCATTACTGACCCACCGCCAAACCGGTCATGCTGGAGGATGTTGCAGGCAGCAGAACGTTCTCCACGGCGTCTCCAGACTCTGTCACGTCTGTCACATGTGCTCAGTGTGAACCTGCTTTCATCTGTGAAGAGCACAGGGCGCCAGTGGCGAATTTGACAATCTTGGTGTTCTCTGCCAAATGCCAAACGTCCTGCACGGTGTTGGGCTGTAAGCACAACAACCACCTGTGGATGTCGGGCCCTCATACCACCCTCATGGAGTCTGTTTCTGTTTGAGCAGACACATGCACATTTGTGGCCTGCTGGAGGTCATTTTGCAGGGCTCTGGCAGTGCTCCTCCTGCTCCTCCTTGCACAAAGGCGGAGGTAGCGGTCCTGCTGCTGGGTTGTTGCCCTCCTACGGCCTCCTCCATGTCTCCTGATGTACTGGCCTGTCTCCTGGTAGCGCCTCCATGCTCTGGACACTACGCTGACAGACACAGCAAACCTTCTTGCCACAGCTCGCATTGATGTGCCATCCTGGATGAGCTGCACTACCTGAGCCACTTGTGTGGGTTGTAGACTCCGTCTCATGCTACCACTAGAGTGAAAGCACCGCCAGCATTCAAAAGTGACCAAAACATCAGCCAGGAAGCATAGGAACTGAGAAGTGGTCTGTGGTCACCACCTGCAGAACCACTCCTTTATTGGGGGTGTCTTGCTAATTGCCTATAATTTCCACCTGTTGTCTATTCCATTTGCACAACAGCATGTGAAATTGATTGTCAATCAGTGTTGCTTCCTAAGTGGACAGTTTGATTTCACAGGAGTGTGACTGACTTGGAGTTACATTGTGTTGTTTAAGTGTTCCCTTTATTTTTTTGAGCAGTGTAATTTCACAATATCTGAAACAATTTCCTCAATCAGGATCGCACAAACTGTTCATACCAACCATAAAGATGTTGATCAACAACAGTAACTGAGTTTACAAAACATTGTGCAAGCAGGAGTCTCTTCAGGTCTTCACAGATTGAATTCCTCTTGCTCCAGTAGAGGTCCATTGGTTTCATCTGGATGCTGTCCAAAAAAGAGGAGCAAAACACATTCAGACCCCAATTAAATCCAACAATCTATAAATCCAGACTGAATATTGTGCATTTTAAATTTGGTGTTTCTAATTTATTTTGCTGGCAATGTACTTTGGGAGCAACTTCCCAATAAACATTTCATCGTCAATACTCATCACAGCAAATCAGCTGACAGAGTTAAAAAAGTAGGAAATGAGCAAATGGTGAACCAATCTCCTTCTTATGTCTAAGTTATTCTGAATATCCTATCTTACTATATTTACCTGTGAGAGGCGGCTGTAGGCCTGAGAATGGGGACAACTGTAGCGACGTAGGCCTCTCCAGGACAGGAACAGTATGAAGACTGATGCGAGAATACACTGTAGGCTAAATGCTATAGAGCTCCCCTTTGCAACAGTTGAACCAGCACGCTAGTGAGAAGAAGTCAGTGGGGAGAGAGAGAGTGAGGTGGGCAGTTTACTTAGGGCTCAGAAAGCAGTTTTCTCTACACATTCAGTATATAATGCCATAAGTTAAAAGAAAGCTTTTCATAATACAGTAGTTAGAAAATTGTTGTCCAGGGGTATTGGTGGATCTCTTGAAATAAGTATATATATGAAAGTATCTGTAGAGATGCAGAATTACCTGTTGGATTGTGCTTAGTGCAATAGGCTGTGCAGGTCTGAGGCTGTTAGCCAGGAGAGCAGAGAAGCCAAACAGAAGACTAAAGAGGTTCAGACCCATCAGAGCAATGATCTGTTCATGATTAATGCAAAAGTAAGCGAGGTATAGCTCACGACATGAGCAAAAAAAGTCACATTACAAATTATTACACAAAGACTTTACCTTTAATTTATTAGCTTTCCTCTGAACCTCTATTGCCAGACATCCAGCAGCCACATGCTGTAAAAACACAAACAGCTATGACGCAGTATTTGACTCTCTCTCTCTGTATAAAATATTTGCACTGAGTGTATTTCAGTTGAAACAGATGTGGACTCACAAATAGGCTTGACCACACTGGTGTTGTCATGGAGACAGAGCAGTTGTAGCTCACACATGCATGGGTGACTGTGGTTAGTATGCAAGCTAAGGCACTGAGGATCTGTACCACCTGAGGGGAAACACAACAAATGAAGCAGCAAGACAGTTTAAAAAGCTACGAAAAACTGTTAACCAACGGTTTGTACAAGCCCACGAAAGTAGAATCTCACCCCAGTCACCAAAAGTCTGGTTTTAACCACTGTCCCAAACCAACGATGAATCCTGACATTGATCAGCTCCCCGTGATTGTTAACCTGGGTCAGAGGGGGGGTGGAGGGTGTCTCTTTGAAAAACACCTGGTACAGCCCCTCCTGAAACATGTTCTGCGTCATCTGTTGTGCAAGAGCAAAGTTAACTTGTAGAAAAACAAAATGGATGTTGAAAAAGCCCTACCTATATTTTATTCCTGCATGCACAACAGTCCAACACACACCTTTGATTACGATGTCACACTTGATTTCAGCCAGTGTGTGAACACTTACCTTCCCCCAAATATTGTAAAGCTTTAACTCATTTATCCACAGGCCCTCATATCAATAGAAAATGTCATCTCGATGAAATAGGAAAAATCCGTTTTTCTCAGTGCTGCTGTTATTCCTCAGTGTCATACAATAGATCCAGAGGGTCAAAGTTCACTTGAGTTGGATGATAATGGATGGTTGAAGTCCACTCTTGAGGAAGCGATTCAAGGAAATCATTGGTAATGACTAAAGAGCTTGTCAGCTTGAAGGCAGCTTCTTGACTGGTTTAATTTTTGAGACAGAATGAGAGTATATTTTGTGACACTCATTACATCCTGACCCTAACCACCCTAACCATTACATTCATAGAGCACAGAACCAAATACAAGTTCACAAATAAAAACTATTTTATTTGTGAAGCAACATTTAAACACACTCTCAAAAAAGATTTTAACAATTGACAACAAAATAATGTTAAAAACATGTAATAAGATTCAATGAAGGTAAACATAACAGGTTAAAGATATTATATTAAAGAATGTGAAAAAAACATCATTATAAAAATGACACAGAAAGCCTGTGCTATTTAGCTTTTGTCGGATATAAATTATAGATATTCCTTCAAAACCCCAAGACCATCTGGGCCATTCACATTTAAAGGTACAGTATACAGGATCAGTATCTCATCTATATACAACAATAATTAAAAAAAATCTGGATTCACAAATAACCAAGCAGGAAAATAAAAATGTTAAATAGGAGAGGCCCTATGAGCGCTCTGAGGAACTACACAGATAGACACTGGAGAGAGGAGACACTGATCAAAGAGGTAGTGGTTGTATTCTCATTAGTGCCCAAGTGTAAATGTTTAGTGGTACCATTACATCAATATGAATTTATTACGATAATTTCTTCATACATGCTGAGGTAGAGTCTAATGTTAGTGCTCTGTGAGCTCCATCACAGGCCCACCGATGCAGTAAGCCCTATGCTACAAACACAGTATCCAACTCAATGTGTTCCACTTAGAATTCAGGTAAGATAAAATGTTACATGTTGCTCATTATCATCAGAATGTTTACTTTTATTTGTGTGATCAGATTTTGGCATAAAAGTATAGTAATAATATGACATCATGGAAACAGCAATGTGTGGAATATTTTGGTAATCAATAAGAGTATACACATACTATTAAATATCATTTGGTGTCAGTTCTGTCATTGTTTACCTGCAAATTCCAGCAACAAGCCTGTGCAATGAACACGCTACTACACAACTGTTTCTGACTTTAGCATGACTGAAGGCACAAGTTTCATAGGAGGGGGTAATCTAATTATTACCACAGCATGTGCTGCTGTGTGTCATGGTTTCACCCTCTCCTTCCTCTGTTTTATCAGTCTCATGCTGCATCACTAATATCTTGTTACTCCACACTTGTTATTCCCCACCCACCTACCAGCTGTCCTCAGTGAGCTTTCCACCTCTGCAATTGATTGGACCACTCATCTTCTTGCAGGCGCTTAGCCAATGTCCATTTGTTGCTTAGGTGTCTAATTGTCTAAAGCAAAAGTATTACAGTGTGAGGTCACTACCTAAAAACTGAATGAGGGAAAAATTATTTTTGTTCTAACATTGGCACTTTTGGACATGAATATTTCTATTATCCTAGGTAAGCAGACATCTGACAGCGCAGATGTCTGCTAACAACACCTGCATTTTAAACCTCCTCCTCCTCATCGTAGTAAAAGATATTGACTCTGGGTGCGTCTTCAAGAAGAGGGACATCCTTCTCTGCCCTCCTCTTCCTTCTCAGCAACAACAGCAGCAGCAGCAGCAGCAACAAGAGCAGTAATTATGGTCAACAGAAAAATCTGAGCAACCAAATACAGAAGTGACCCAAAACCAAAACCAATTTAAGTGAGTAAGAAAGACCTGCTACATACGCATAAGACCAAAAATTGCTACCACAGCTGAGGTTGTGAGAGAAAGAATGTGCAGACGAGGGTCAGAACTGGGATGAAGCAGGTAGGGACAGCCCCTTGGCATTGGCACACTTCTGTTTCCAGTGTGTTGTCTTGGTAGAGCATGCCAACATCATAGATATGCATCAGCACATAACAGTCACAAGGTGAAAACTCCCATTTTCCACGTTGCATGCAGGAGAGGAAAAGGTGCAGAATTAACACTTGAGGAGTGCTTGGATAGAGTTTTGAGTAAATATTTGCTTTGGTACACGTGTCAAGAAGAGTTGGACTGTGTCTTCTTCAGTACTCAGCCACCTGGCATGGTCAATGTGAAGTTTATATCTGAAGTCAAGAGAAAAACCTGATTAGAAGGCAAACAGGACAGTGTGGATGCACGTCATCTGAGTGTAAACATGTGTATGCTTGTATGTGTTATTGTTGCCAAAGGTGCTATTTCCTGGCTGTGTCTGGCTCTTTGGCTCTGAGGTCAGCCACAGAACTGAAACTGAGGTCTCGTTCTTGTCCACAACTGTTATAGTCAGTGACTGTGGCTGTCGAGGATGACACTGGTCCAGAAAACTGCACCTCATTTGTCACCGCCACAGGAATGCTGTAAAGACAGGAATGTTCTCAAAGTCCAGCTCCTCTATATCAGCAGCCTCAATGATCAGCTTGTACTCTGAATGAGTCTAACACAGCAAAGTGAGTTACAACAGAAATTTGGAATAAAAAAGTCTTGAAAAGAGAAGAGTAGTGCTCTCATTGTATGATTACATTACCTCTCTGTCCAGTGCATCTGCCATCACACTAATTGTTCTTTGGGCATTTGAGGCATCTGAGCATTTATCCTGTACTTTCTTCACTGCTGTTACCTTCATGACTGAGTCATCTGCTGAAGGAAACAATCCAACAATGACTATTAGGACTTTAAATTCTAGAAATTTAGGAAGTAGATTTTTATAATTTTAGCTTTCTCTCACCAATGTCAGCGCTTTAGCTGCTCTGCCATACAAATGGTGGTGATTGAATTTTGGAGCATTGACATTTTTGTCAATGACACTGATAATTCCTGTACCTAAAAAGTCTGCAGTGTCTAGTCTGAACGACTACCGCCCTGTGGCTCTCACCCCTATTCTGGTGAAGTGCTTTGAGAAACTGGTTCTTCAGCACATAAAGTACAACATCCCAGCCAGTCTGGACCCTCACCAGTTTGCTTTCAGAACCAACAGATCCACAGAGGATGCTATCTCCACTGCCCTCCACTCAGCCCTCACACACCTTGAGAAAAACAACACCTACATCACAATGTTGTTTGTGGATTTCAGCTCAGCATTCAACACAATCTCCCCCATGAAGCTGATCTGCAAACTCAGCTCTATAGGTTTAAATGCAACACTCTGCAACTGGATATTGGACTTCCTCACAAACAGACTGAGGTGGAGCAGGTGAATAGTTTCAGGTTCCTGGGAATCAGCATCACAGAGAACCTGACATGGTCACATCTCCACACAAAAACAGAATTGCTTGATACGTAGGTTTTGCTTTTCACAAAAGAAAAACACACTAAAAGATGTTCAGACTGCAGATTTTAAACACTAGATGAAGACAAAAATCTAGTGGAAAACAAAAGCCAATAAATAAACATTATAAATATGATATACAGTTGGGCTAAGCAATAAAGACAGTTATCTTTTTGTTTTAGTGGCCCAGTTGTATGTAAACGTACCTTATTACTCCAACATTTAACTCTCTTGGCACAGCAAAAAAACTCACCCTCAGAGTCCTGTTGTTCCCCATCACCTCATTCAGAATAGAAACCTTACAGATCATTCTTCCACCCTCACTAAACTGACCGTTTGAGGTGGATCTGCTGCTTTGCTCCAATGGCAGCTAGCCAAGTTTGTGGCATTTAATAACCCTCCTTATTAAGAGGTTTTCACCTTCAGAGTTCCCCAGTCAGTATGAGTAACGTATCATCTTCCAGACTCAGCGCTATCTGTATTTGTTCTTTTAACTGCATGTGGCTTCAGTAATCGTGTGGTCACTGTGCTTTACTTTTCTCCTTATGATGCTAACAAAGTAGTTTTTTGTAGTAGTGAAAGGTTTGTGAAGAACAGGTCAGGCACTGTCAGACATGCAGGTACGTGTGCGGTGAAGCTTGCCCTTTTTTGGCCAGCGTTGGGATGCACCTGTCTGAGAATAGCAGCGTTTACATAACACTTTAGCATCGGATAGACACGCTGCAACTAATATCCTGGCAGTTTATTTTGAGACTTCTTCTGCCTTGCCTCTGTATTTCATTTCATTCACTTTTTCCCCCAAATTTCGCTGTGATAAAAAAATACACAAGCAAAACAAAACAATTTCTTGATTGTTTAATATGAAGCATCTACAACTTTCCTCCAGTGAGGGGAGTGTCAACTTCAGAAAATCCAACAGTCGCACGGAAAGCAGTACATTTACATAAAATGAATAGTATATTTCACAGTTTACACGTAGGTCAAGTTAACAGGAAAAGATGTCACATAATGATAGTCTTAAGCAAAGTGTAGACAAGTAACAAAGTGTCTGTAGCCTTGTAATTACTGCCAACATTTCCACTACTCACCTGTTACTCAAGTGATATCTATAAAATGTCCATAAAGAATACACTGAAGGACCAATGACCTGATAGATGCAACAATTAAGAATATGTAACCTAAGTTAAGTCTATGGAACAGTGATTTGTTTTTACAGTTCACATACTTTATAACACTGAAATCTGTCCTTTCATTTCAAGTATATAGAAATTAATTAATGTAACAGGTTGTCATTTTTCCCATAAAATGACAACCTGGAGAAAATGTTTTTCTATGATCTTTCCCAAAGCTAATGCCGAGTGAATTTCTTTTGGGTTTTTTTAATCTCTGTCCATCACTGAAAAAATCCATCCGTTAGCTGTGGTGCAGTCTGGCCAGGTCAGAGTTCAGATACACCACAGTAGCTGTGATGTCGTCCCTGTACATTCGAGCCAGGTCCTCTGGCAAAGTGAGCATAGAGGCTAGTCTCTCCTGGCAGAGTTCTCCATACTCCCCAGTGCCAAGAGCATGTCTGATGAGGTGCGTGGCAACGTTGGTGTCTAAGGCGGGGGAGGCCCGGGCCCGGCGTTTCAGTAAGAGTTCATGAATCTGACCCAATTTCAGCTGCCTCTCAGATGGAGAAACTGGAGCCTGGAAAAAAGAAAGGACAGTTAAGAAGATACATTCGCAGGATAAAAACACAAGAAAAACTACCACCGGTTTATATAAAAGCGGTGTACTATGAATCAGGGGACAAACAACGCACGTCACTTTCACTCTACACACATACCTGTAGGTGAATCCCACTGAGGTGCTCTCCAACGAGTCGTACAGCCTCCTCGCTCCCCAGTTCATCCCACAGCCCATCAGTGCCGAGGATCAGGAACGGTCCTGAGGTCTCAGTTTGTGATAGGTTATCTCGGGGGCCACATCCAGATAGGGTGGCGTTAGGTAGTTAGGTGGCGTGTACTGGTACAGGTTCAGAGAGTCCACGTCCACTCCTGATTCCAGGCTGGCTAAAATGCTCTGCTGCAACTCATGGCTCCACTTGAATCTTACATCACCAAAGGCACGCAGGGGCATCAGGACCTGACAGCACGGTAAAAGCTTAGGACCTGGGACTTATTTTCTAAATTCAGCAGTCAACAAATTGTACAGTGCCTGTTAAGTGTTGTGCAGAACTCTCACCCCGAGCAGTCTGTCATCAGTGACCACCGTGTCTCTCTCTGAGGGTGGGTGCTGGGCCTTGAGCCGCTCCACCTCAGCTAGGTTCTGTGAGTTGTGGTCCTGGGAAAGGGGCAAAGCGCTCCATGAACCGTCCTCCTCTTGCACCCCCAACACTGCTCGGCAGTCACCGGCATTCGCCACGTGGATCCCATCTGTGCCAACATGTGCCACACAGGCGGTGCAACCGGCAAACGCAACCTGGACAGATAATGATACCTGTGTATTAACATTGGGTGACCTTGAATACAGTGAAGTAACAAAGAAAGGCATGTTATTACCTGGATGGCTGTGCTCTTCATTAGGTCACTGGAAAGGGGGACTTGAGCCTCCAAGGAGATGTCAGCGTCCAGCCGCTTGAAAGCGCAATCCAGAGCTTCTGGAGGACTTAAAGAAAAGTGAGATGATGGAAGCATATAAAAGAAAAGCCAATCACACGTAGGTATATATGTGTATGTAGATAGCTATGTATAAGACATACAGGCTTCTTCTTCTTACCTCAAGCCTTGACCATGTTCCTCGTTGTCAAGTAATTCTTGCCAGAAGACTCTGAGGTGGTCGATGTAGAGTGAAGCAGATTCACGGTAGTTAAAGTCTGCATGGTGTTTGTACCACTGCAAGATGGGAGGAACAGGTCTGCTATTCTCCATGCATTTCTCAAGCACCTCCAGGCTCAGCTTTGGCATCATTGCAACTGCAATGTAGTACAAAAGCCGCTCACTGACAGCCTGGGCACACGCCCAGCCCCCATGGCCGTCAAACACGCCAAAGAGCATGCCCTTTGACTGGAGGAGATAAGAGAAAACTGCACTAAGTTGAACAAGAAGAGGAAAAGAAGTAGGGAGGCTGATGTACAGACAGGGGCGAGAAGATGCATACCTGTAAGCAGGTGGCTGCACTGCGACGGTCCTCATTAGGTGTGTTAGCAGCCAGCTGGTTGCTCTCAAACTTTCTCACAGCACTGAGTCCCCTGCCATCAAACTCAGGCACACTTACAGTCTAAGACACAGAAACACACATGTACAGGGTAAGTCATAACTGCAAAGTTATTCAATATGTAATATGATGGGGGGGGGTCAAGCCGTTTCACTTGACTCTGACCTCTGACACATGCTTGCCTACTGTGTGTTGTTAGATTATTTCTCTTCTTGAAGAATGATTATATCTATCACCTGCTCATTAGCTCGCAAAATACTGTTGATTTGGACCCGGCTGAGCTGGTAGTCTAGATCCTGATGAGTCGAGAGGTGTCGCCAACTTTGAGACCAATTTCCTGACTCCTCAACACTGAAGCCCAAGAGGTCTGCTCTGGAGGTACACCCCCAGGATGAGAAGTGACAAGGGTGGGCAGGTCGAGTCTGAGAAGAGGGAAATGCTACACAGTGGGTATACTGATTGAACAAAAAGAGTAATGACAACATTAGAATATAATATAACTTACTGCAAATGACACTGAATGAATTTAAGAATATAATAAGTAAACATGAAGTCAATCAGGACACAAACCTGGAATGAGGTAACGTTAGATGAGTTAAGTGTCAGTGTGCAGCCTGAAGCTTTTTTAAGGATACTGGCGTACACACGTCCAGACATCTCTCCAATGAGCCAATGCTGTGGTGCAACTTATTCACCCGTATGTCTATGCCAAGGAAAAATTCAATAAGTTTATAGTGATAGCAGCACGACTTCTGTGAAGACAACTGACAATCTAGGAGCTAGCGTAAAAAAAAGCAAGCTAACGTTAGATGTTCTGTGAGTTAGTAAGTTAATAACTTGAGCCTGCTTCAAATTAATCCATCATCGACGCGCTATAAACCAATACCAAACAGCAAAACGATGATAACGAATAATGACATTTCCGAGGCGTTAATAGGTGCAAACCTACAGTCTATGGTGCAAACTTGCTAAATAAGAGTTGACAACGCATAAAACATGGTTAGCGTGCTAGCTTCGCTAACGTTTACTGTTAGCAACAAAGTTTGTACCAAAATCTATAATTGAGCTAAACGTTTACACACCGACTGATATGGTACACGCCAAGTACTCTGAATAAACACGTATTTAATCAAATACGTACAAACTCAGTAAAAATACGAATGAATCGACGCCGATCTAACGTTACAGACACCGGCTCCATACATGGCAGCGATGCGCCACAACGTCTGACGTTGCAATCATCTGACGCACTGTTGTAGTTACTACTGGTCGCATTTGGGCGTGAGAAAAAAAAACATTGTAGGAGCAGTTTAAATAGACGATCTTTGTTTTAGACAACTTTTAGCGCGACTTTGCAGGTCCTAATGTTACCCTATCCTGGTCCTACCTACAGTAATGGTTTGATGACATTAAGTCATATAATATTCAGTCGTTTGTAATATCATTTTAGAATTAAATTTCTGGTTAGTTTTATTCTTTCTCGATGTACGTTTTTATTGGTTTGTTAGCTTGATACTTGGGGTAACGTTATCTTTAACGTTAGTGCTCAATGACAGGTGTTCCACGTTCAATCACCAACGGCAATGATTCCTGAAAGACACATAGCTAGCTAACATTGGCTACCGTTAATGTTTAATCACCTTAATGTACTCTAACATTTGTTCAGTGAGCATTGGGAATTAACTTAGCTAACAGTCAAGTTACTCGTGAAGAAAAAGTTTGGACATTAGCTAAATTTTAACGTTAGCACGAAATACCGGTAACTCAAATTTGGCTAGACTTGGGAAATAACAGATGTTTTATCTTGTAATAATAAGTTAACGTTAGCCATACAGTTACTTGGGTGACATTTAACCGTTGTTTATGGCTTTGCTTTTAAACCACTTAGTCATTTAAAGAGTGAAATGGATAAGACAGGAGTTTGCAGCAGCACCTGTAATAGTAAGTTACGTTGTTGCTCAATCCAGATGTGCACATTTTGTTTATGATTTTGTAGATGGACGTAGCTAATGTAAGTTAACAGTTACAAATGTACCATTAACTTACTGGTATGTCCCTCTGTCTATCACTGATCTCATCTTTCTGCTTTCAGCCATAAGGACAGATCTCAGTTTGTTGCTTGAGTGTCTGAAGTTTCAGATGAAATGTCCTGATTTGCAGAAACAAGCTCTTCTTACCATTCACTCAATCTGTGAAAAGAGAGGTAATGGTTAACCAGCAATGACAGAAACACACCATGTCCATAACTTTCCTCTACACACACTAACCATCTCCTACAGCCCTATCAATCAGTCAAATTTGTTGTTCGGACACATGTCTTGCTTACGAATACCTTCTAATAATTTACGTGAGTGATATTTAGTTGACATCTATGTATTCAGTATAACCCCTTGACCTGATACCTTTCCACTGTCTGTTTAATTATTTCAGAGGATAATGTGGACCTGCTGAGAGAAATGGGAGGCGTGGCATTTGTGTATAATCTCTCCAAATCCAGTATTGTTCATTCAGATGTTAAGGAGACTGCACTCTTTACACTCGGCACGCTGGCAGAAGCCAATGGTAGGCGTGTGTGTGTGTGATATATTGCTAAATTACAATTCAGTGGCACGTCTTGTGAAGGATGCAGCCCAAAAAGTTGTGTCTTTTGGAGCATTTAAAGCCTAGGATGAATGTGCAAGTCCTCCCCAATCAACACAGTCCAGCCTTACAGGGACAAAAACTATAGGTGGTTCTTGTCAATTTGTAAGGTTGAAAATGACCAAGTTTACCGATCAGAAAGTTGCTCTAACCAGCTGACAAAGTGGTAAATATATAATAAACTTGGGCTGTAGAAAAATAATAGGTAGCTGGCAAACACTGTGCTAGGGTAATGTTAATGTTGGCCATTTTTCTGTGGATTGTGGGAAAATTAAAGGTGCAAAGGACACACAGAGGATAGTTTTGTCACCCTCTTATGACATATTAAGTTCGGAAATGTGGACTTCAGAGGCTGTGGTCTTTTTTAACAAGTGCACAACAAGCTAGTGTACAGTCGAATGTGAATAATATCGCCCCATTCTTGTAATGTGGTATTTTCAAATGCAAGTCATTTTGAGGTAAATGACAGTTTTACATGTCCATAATACTTTACTTATCTTTCCTTCTGGTAGTGTATTGCAAGAATTCTCTGTGCAGAAAGGAGACATTTGCAGACCTTGCTGGTTGGTTGATAAAAGAAGACATCCCGCTGACACAGAAGAGAGTGTCTGTCTATTTGCTGTCTGTGTTGGTAGCAAACAACAGTAAGATCAAGGCTCCCCAACTAAGATAATGAGTTAAAACTACAGGATCGGTTATCCCATTTAAGTTTTTCTGTCACTTTACATGATGTTTTCATATCAAGTATATTTTTGTATCAAGTAGAAAATTTAATATAAGATTTCTCAGAGTATGATAAGCTTGCTTTTGTTATGCAGACCTTTGTAACCCTCATGTGTCTGCGTGCTATTGCAGAATCAGGACAGACTTTAGCCCAAACCACTGGCTGCCTGGATATTCTGCTGGACCTCTTCAGGTACTTGCAATGTTAAACTCTTTGTAATCTCATGTAGTCCAACATGAGACAAATCAAGGAAATGTTCATGTACGTGTACCACCTATATTAGTTTAATAGTATTTATTTTTGCAGGACCACTTTCCCCCTCTCCACAGAGGCTACTTTGAGAGCAGCTAATGCTACTCAAACCTACCAGCTTTGGGCATCTGTGTCTAGTGCTCTGTGTGGATGTGTCAACAACCCGCAGAATGGTAATGTCATCTATGTATTTGTGCCTTGTACTGAGCAGTTAATATGTAAAACATAGATACTCTTGCCATCAGATCAAACCAATGAAATGGGATACTGCATACTAATTTTGTACTAACTACCAAGTTTTTAACAGGAGTACGAGGAAAAACAGATTTTTGCTCAATTGTGTCTTTCTTTTGACTTCCAGAGGAGGGTCAGCGTGTTTGTGTGGCAGCCTTTCCCATAATAAAGATCTGGCTTCAGCAGATTGATCTGCCACGCACTGAGATTTTTCAGCCCATATGTTCCTTCATAGCAATGACAGTTGCCAACAACTGTAAGTGAAAGACACAGAATGGCCTGTGCTAAACCTGTGGCTTTCTATGTTTGATTTAATGTCAATTCTTTGTTTTTTGCAGCCTGTGTTCAGGAGAGTTTTTCTGTCTCGGGGGGTCTGGATACTCTCACTCTTGCACTGGTTTGTCTTGCTTCTGCAGCAGGTACAAGTTTGTTGTCTTGCCAGCTTTCAGTCACTATATCCAAGACCCTGTCAGCTTGCATCTCTGAAAACTGTGCGTATCAGTCTTACGCACACATATACATACACCAACAGTTCACTTAAACAACCATAGCGTATGCCCCTCCATTCACAATCTATTCTTTTGTAGCTTCTTTGGCTTCAGGCCTGGCTCAGTATGGTGTGGTTTCTCACCTCTTCTCCCTGCTGGCTAGCCCACACCTGGACCCTGAGGACAGGCTCTCTGTTTTACTTATCCTGGGCCACTGCACCGAGGCCTCTGGTTAGGCTGCACAGTTGTGTGCTGTTTGTGTCTTAATATTTTTTACAGTTTGTTTCAAGTTTATATTTTAAACACTTTAGAGAATTACACCAACTGCTACAATCTTCAACAGTCTTCCCTCCCCTTATATACAACTTGACTATTTCTGCTATCCATGTATTTTTCTTCCTGTCTGTAGAGGAGCACCAGTCCCAGTTGGTGGAGTGTGGAGGCTTGCCCCTTATCATAACGCTACTCACAGAGGATACAAGTGAGGAGGTTAGAAAAGCTGCTACATTCATATTGCAGACCTGCAAACAGGCCAGTAAGTCAAGCAGTCTTCTGAATCTTGTAGTATTATCATGTAAGATGGACTTTATTGAAGACTATAGACCATAATTCCAGGCATAATACAATTCCTATTATTATATGTTCAAAGTCACTCATGCATATTAAGAAATGACAGATGATGTGGAAATCATTAAATGGATGCTCTGGGTCCAGGATAGCTCAGTGAAGCACTGTGGTCTTAAGGCTGTAAAGACCAGGGTTCATTTCTTCTGTATGTCGTCTGTGTGAAATATGTGTCTGTTAGAGAAGTGCATTAACTTAATTCTTGCATACTTAAATTAGTTCCATAAAGTGAAAGTAAGATCAAATATATAAAGGAAATAAGTGATTGAATAATACATGTGTTGAATTTAGAATGTGGAGCACTCATAATGACTTGTTTGTCTTTGTCTGTGAAGCCATGTCCTTGGGAGTGTCTGGTCTGGTAGCGAAACAGGGGGAGTGTAAAAATATGGAGGCCTTGACAAACATGGAAGGCTTCAGGAACTCAGCCAGAGAGCTGCTGCACAGAATTGACCTGCTAGAGAAGAGACAGGCAAAGGTTAGACATACATTGACACACATGGCCACAGTATATTTAGCATGTACAGGTAGCGTGGTGACTCTGATTGTGTGCTTATGTTGATCTTTAGGAGGCTGAGGACGTGCAAGAAGACACAGACCCATCAACTTCAACTGAAGGGCTATGCCAACCATCTCGATCTCCTGACTTACCTCTGCCTCTGCAGACGAAGGAGAGCATTAAAACCATCCCCACAGCATTTAGACAGAGCAGCGCTCTCAAGCATGTAGAAGCAGGGGGTGACAACAACATTAAACCTCAAACTGCCAGAAAACTGATCAAGAATGAGCAGGACAGTGAACTGAAGAACACAAGCTCCAATTTAAGTATGGACAAGAAGGCTAAAACCGGTGGAGGGGATGTGTGGTGTGCAGCATGCAAGGGTACTGGATCCCTGATGTCTTCCCATCTGCAGTCACTAGAGGGAGGCGGAAAGCCTCATACAGCAGACAAGTAAGTAGAGTTCCTGTGTTGATTACTTCTTAATCAGAAAAAAATGAAATGATTTCTTCCATAATTACTTTTTATTCTGTTTTTGTTTAGTGAGTTGTTTAAGCTCCCAGCAACAGTGAGGCACAGTGTACCAAAAGAAATTAAATGTACTGAAGAAGAAGGTAGGAGTCAGCTTCAAAAAATATAAAAACAATCTTTGCTTTAATCTTTGTTTTCACTAGATGTGTAGTTGTGTAAAAACAAAACAAAAAAACATTAAAACATTTTTAAAAAGAATTTAAAATAATGTGTATTTTTTGTTAAGAGTTGCAAGACTGTGACTTGAGTAAGGTGGGGGAAACCACCGTGGAGGAACAGTCACTCTCTCATATCCGGTGTGCAGGTAGGAGGACATGATTCTGCCTTTTAGTGAAATGCTTTCCATTTTTTATTATCAAATGGTTATAAGGAGTCTTCCCTACAATGCAATTTAACAAACAGGAATTTGCCTTTTTTAATCAGAATAAACCAGACATTTTGTGCTGTAGAGATTTTGTAGATGTAAGCTGTAGGGATAGTTTGGGTCCATAGAATTTTTGTTACTTATAGTTACATGGATAATAGTTAATCCCTTCTATCCCATTTCTTTCTCTCCTTTAGGTTGTGTGTTGCCTTTTGAGCAGGTGACTAGTCGCACTTTTGCATCTTTTCAAAGCTCCTGCGCCCACAGCTGTGACATGCACAAGGTTCTCCAGGAGGCCACAGAGCGGTTCAGGACTCATCACTGCAAGCTTCTGTTCAGGAGAGAGTCCCAAGACAACACTGTAGAGCAGACAGACCCAGAGTCTGAGAGAGTTTCAACAGCAGAGGCACAAAGCTGGAAACACTGGAGCGGTAAAAGGCTTCAGTATTTGAAATCTACAGTAAATCATCTTATCGAAAGGTGGTCTGATTGGTCAAGGAGTACATCCTAGTCACACCAATAGTTCCTGCTATGCACAACAGAAATATGGTGCCAACTAGAGCAAATTAATTTAGTATTGTGTGCCAACCTAAGGTTGGAAAAAGTGTTTTAGGGGTTTTGGTGTGCTGCAGATGATTTTTCTCACCACTTTTTACACCAATCGAATATTAGGTCAATTAATGAATCATTCAAAACAACCACCTTATCGCCAAGTACGACAGATAACCAACCAAGCAAAATCAGTACCAACATCTATCATGAGGTTTACTTACCACTGTGTTGATTGAGGTATCTAGACTCTTTATGTTGTTAAACACGTACCAGTTTGGTTGCTGCTGACTTTAAATACTGCATTTAGCAGGATAACAAAATAGATATTAAAACATAGATGTGTAATTTATGCTACACCACAGGTGTACTGAATTATGGTTATTGTGTTTAACTCATGCTTTCAGTGCTTGACAACATTAAAATGTTTGCAAACTTTGGAAACTAGTACTCTGAACTTTATCATGGTGCATTACCTTACTCAAGATAAATGTGAAAACTTTACCAATGAATACAACCCCAGTTCCAGTGAAGCTGGGATGTTGTGTAAAACGTAAATAAAACCAGAATACATTCATTTGCCTTTTCAACCTATATTCAATTTAATACACTACAAAGACAAGATATTTAATAATATATATATTGATATTAGGGCTGTCCCCGACTAAGGATTTACAAAGTCGAATCAGAATCATCAAGTCCTGCCTATAGTCGACTGATAGTCGAATCGTGTGTTTTTGTGCACTGCGATTGCGAGCCAAAGCTAAACTGAGGCTTATTGTTGACCATTTTCTCTCTCTCTCTGTCTCTCTCTCTCTCCCCTACCATTCACCGGTCTTGTGCAGAGTTTTCGCCGTGCTGCAGACAACTGCATGCACGTCGCGGTTCCTCGCGGGTCTATTTCAAGTAGTTCAAGTTGTTCACCACAACAACTGCGTGACCAAATAGCCCAACAGTTTAAGAACAACGTTTCTCAACGTACAATTGCAGGGAATTTTGGGATTTCATCATCTACGGTCCATAATATCATCAAAAGATTCAGAGAATCTGGAGAAATCTCTGCACGTAAGCAGCAAGGCCGAAACCAACATTGAATGCCCGTGACCTTCGATCCCTCAGGCAGCACTGCATTAAAAACCGAAATCAATGTGTAGGATATTACCACATGGGCTCAGGAACACTTCAGAAAACATTGTCAGTTAACACAGTTTGTCGCTACATCAATAAGTGCAAGTTAAAACTCTACCATGCAAAACGAAAGCCATATTTCAATAACACCCAGAAACACCGCCAGCTTCTCTGGGCCCGAGCTCATCTGAGATGGACTGACGCAAAGTGGAAAAGTGTGCTGTGGTCTGCCGAGTCCACATTTCATATTGTTTTTGGGAATTATGGACATCGTGTCCTCCGGGCCAAAGAGGAAAGATTCCAGATTGCTATCAGCGCAAAGTTCAAAAGCCAGCATCTGTGATGGTATGGGGGTGTTTTAGTACCCATGGCATGGGTAACTTGTACATCTGTGAAGGCACCATTAATGCTGAAAGGTACATACAGGTTTTGGAGCAACATATGCTGCCATCCAAGCAACGTCTTTTTCAGGGACGTCCCTGTTTATTTCAGCAAGACAATGCCAAGCCACATTATGCACGTGTTACAACAGCGTGGCTTCGAGGTAAAAGAGTGCGGGTACTAGACTGGTCTGCCTGCAGTCCGGACCTGTCTCCCACTGAAAATGTGTGGCACATTATGAAGCGCAAAATACAACAACAGAGACTCCGGACTGTTAAGCAACTGAAGTTGTACATCAAGCAAGAATGGGAAAGAATTCCACCTACAAAGCTTCAACAGTTAGTGTCCTCAGTTCCCAAACGCTCATTGAGTGTTGTTAAAAGGAAAGGTGATGTAACACAGTGGTAAACATGCCCCTGTACCAGCTTTTTTGGAACGTGTTGCAGGCATCAAATTCAAAGTGAGTGAATATTTGCAAAAAACATATATAGTTTATCAGTTTGAACATTAAATATCTTGTCTTTTTGGTGTATTCAATTGAACATAGGTTGAAAAGGATTTGCAAATCATTGTATTCTGTTTGTATTTACGTTTTACACAACGTCCCAACTTCATTGGAATTGGGGTTATACATGAGCTCGTGTGTGGCATTGATTAAATATGAGAGAACCTTCCAGACAGTAAATATGCATCATGTGTGTTGTTGTTGTGGTTGTTCTATCACTGTTTTTAATGGTCCGATTTAATTTTCCTTGTCTATTGCTTTGTAAGTGTTATGTTAGCGTCTTCAGAATGAAACATACATTATTCTCTTTACCTAACGCTATAAAATTTTGGACTTCTACTTCACAGCAGAAAAGGTGTGCTTGACTCCTATACGTAAAGGAGCAGGGAAAGTCGAGAGCTCCCTGCCAGAACACCACGGGAAGAAGCACAATGGTAAGAATTATGCAGCAAGTGGTGGCACACTGGTGTCTTAAAGGACTGTAGGAAATGAGCCTAGATTGAACAAATAAGCAAGAGCACAAATTAACAAATTAAGCACAAGAAAGACAAAACACGTCTTCTTAACCATTCAAGTCTAATCAATCTTATATAACTAAACTAAGGAACATAACATGAGCACAGGAAGCAGTTTGTGTCTGTTGTAAAAGAATTGTTCCTGAAAGCTAAACAAGTTATGTTCCACTAAACTAACATACATGCACAATATGCTATAAGTGTGTCATTTGTCTTTTTCCACTTATACTATAGAATGCGCTTTGATCCCACTGCACAGAGGAGCTAAAAAGGACATATTTACTTCCTACAACAAGACCGGTGTGTGTGTGACGTCATCACAGCAACATCTCATTTATTAATGTCCTTTATATGTGTCATAATTAACCACACTGATCACTCCTCTGCTCAGGTCCACGCTTGACTCCCCTGAAAAGGTCTGGTCATCCTGAAGGTAGATATGTGAAATCAGTTATGGATATTTACGGAGATCACTTTAAGTTTGTGTGAATGTTATGTTTGAGAGCCTGTGGTGGGAGCTGTCCTTTGCAGTGTTCTTGGCAACAGAAAAACCGAAGAGCAGAAGGAATGTTGAACTGCAGCCAGTGTTCTCACAGTGCAGGCCAGAGCTGGTTCAGAGCAGCACAGCTGTATTAAGTTGTTTCACACTCTGTATAACACTGTGTGTGTGTGTGTGTGTGTGTGTGTGTGAGAGTGAGAGTGAGAGAGAGAGAGAGAGATTTAAAGGGTGTGCTTCGATGCGTTTGTGCTTTGCCAGCGACATGGTAGTGAAAGGAGAAGCATTTTGTCTGTTCCACATTAAGATTTTGCGTGTTTATTCACTATACAGTGTGCTAAAGTTTACACATCATATATGTGGCTATATTTGCCATCCATCTTTCACTTCTTGCTTTCCAATTTTGCCAATTCAAACGCTCCCAGTCAGACTTTCTGTAGCCTAAAAGTTGCTGTAGTGTTGCAACACTGACGCAGAGGCACTTGTGTGTCTTTCTGTGCTGTCATGCTGAGATTTACTGTATTTTTACATCTCTCAGCCAAATGCAGTTTCCAATGCACAGTCCACATTTTCATTCTTTCTCTGACCAGTTCAGCTGTTTTTTTCCAACTTCCCCTCTCCTATTTTTTGTATTAATTTTGTCCCCTTTCTTCTATTCTCTTTTCTATTCCCTCTTCAGTCAATATTCTCCTCTTGTATTGCTGTTTGTAGAGCAGTTGTATTAGCAATAACTGGTGATGTAATATTTCCTAATGAGGAGTCAGGCAAGAGAGAAGAGAAATTGCCTCTCTGTATAGTCTGGGGCCAGGTGTTGATGAGTAACAGAATGAGTTGTAAAAAAACCTGGCGTCCTCTGCTTTTCACACCAACCCAAACTGTTTAATGTTTCAAATACAGAGAGAAGAAGAGGGAATAATAGTGAACAACATGCTGTTGACGATGAGCCGAGGACTAGCACAAATCCCTGTTCCACTGTAAGTTTGCCTGTCAGGTTTTCCAACAGATTTGAAATGCCAAGACTGTATGCTGCAGTGCATTGAAGTAGTAAAAAAATATAAGAGTAATAAAAGGAGGAAATATACAGTGAAAAGTAAGGATGGGAATTTGAGGGATTTAAAGTGAAATCTAATCCACGGCACTAAGGAGAAAATATGGTTGAGAATATGCACATATTTTGATACATGCATACAAACATTACATATGGTTAAAAACTAATGTTAGGCTAATGTGGTAATATTTAAGGATTATAGTGGCTTAATTTATTTTTTCATTGCAAGTTTTAGCAACCAAACTACACAATGTGTGTAGTTTACTGCCAGTAATTAAGACATTCTGCTTTACAGGCAGGCAAACGTTTCACTTTATTTCAATGTGTATTTTCAATATGAAAATGAGTTTGACAGTGAAAAACTGTCTGCCTTATTTTATTTTATATACAGTATGTAGAAACTGAAAATCTCTCTCACTGATCGTGTGAATTTTAGTCATCTCTTGCATTATAAAAAGTGGTCTTAAAACACAAATGTCAGAGCATCCTTGAACACACCAACAAAAGGACTTTAAATATAATCCTTGCAACTGTAGTACCATGCAATCCTAATGCAACTTTGATGCAAACAGATATCAACAAATGTCAAGTCTCAACAAGTTGATTTTCATAGCATTTCAAACCATTTTGCTGTATGGAGGTTGGAAAATCAATTTAAACTGAATGATATGCTTTGCAGAATGGCTGGGAGTCATTTAAGCCATGTGTTGTTAATGGGTTGACATTTGCAAAATCAACAGCATGATCCATTACCATTAGTCACGCAGGCATCAGATGATTTTATATATGAATAGCAAAATGAAAAGCAATCACATTTTCTCACTTTTCACCATAGTTTAGATTGTATTATACTTTTAAGCAGAGCTTTAGTAACTAGACCATGTTTGTAAGCTAAAACTTTATATACAAAGTTATATAGACCCTTTTTGTAACACAGGTTATAAAGTGTTGTACATAATATCAAGCATAAACATAAAAACGCTAGGTTCATACAAGAGAAAAACATTTAAAAGGTCATACACATACAAACGCAACACACGTGACCACAGAAAGCATTCAGCGACCAGACACAGCTCGTAGCACACTGTTTAGAGTTCTCGAAAAGCAAACCGAAACAAGTGGGTTTTTGAATGTTTTTTTGTGTCAGTGGAGAAGTCATTAACAGTGTTTTACTGAGCCCAAGCACAGTATGGTAGTCACATAGCTTGTGAAAGGCCAAACTACACATAAGAGGCACAGGTATTGTACTAAATGATGTGAAGTTGCAGGCATGCACATGTGGACATAATGGACATAATCCACACCCTCCTGTCTATCTGACACGCTGTCAGTTTTGTCTCTTCACCCTTTTTTATTATCAATCTTAGAGAAGGAGGAGGAAAGACTTCAGCTGTGAGGAGGTACATTACCTACTGTGCGGAGTGAACACTTTCGGCTTCTCCTGGAACTCCATCTTGTGGTCATACCCCTTCCAACCTGGACGCACCAATGTTGACCTGGCCAAGAAATACAGGCGGCTAACGGTAACAAGAAAATCTCCTTTTTAAGTAAGTCATCTTAACTGTCAAACTACATTTTGATTAACAGCCTGATTGTTTTTTTTGTCCTCAGAAAGGAAAAGCCCAGGATGCTGGCTGTGCATAACCCTGGTCCTGAGATCCAGCCCAATAATAAATAATGGTTCTCTGTTAATAATAGCTTTGATTTATCTGAAAGACCTTCACTCTTTTCAGTTCAGAACTCTGTATTTATTGGGGGGAAAAATTCCAAAGAAGCATTTATTTCTTAGACTCATAATATATTGTACTCTCAGTATTTATATAGATTTTAGTACTTTGTATATGATTTTCATTGTTTGAAAAAAAAAATTGACAGATATTGTTTGTTTTTATTATATGTTAAAGCATTAAAATAGGTGTTTAAGATTCAGCGTCTTCTCTGTCAGGTACGTTTTCATATTTTATTCATTCTAACAGGCATACACGAACCATTAGGACTCTTATAAGGATATATTGTGCCAGATTTTGAGTGAATTAGATGTATAACCTTTGCGTAAGGGCTATTTTAAAGTCCTTGTTATGTTGTAACACCACCTATTGATGAATCACCACCGCACTGTTGTCAAATGTACGTCTACCAGATTTGATTGCAACAGCACGATGTGGTCATGAGTTGTGGTAGAAAAAAGGCCCAGCCCTAAACACTTGGGTAACCATTTATAACAGTACTGTATTAGTCACAGGCCAGGTTAGATTTGCTTTGTTACCAGTTTGTGTACCAGTCAAAATGTCAGAACATCTAGTCTAGCAGAAATGGGCAAGATCACACCTATTTACACTGAACAAAATTATAAACGCAACACTTTTGTTTTTGCCCCCCATTCATCATGAGCTGAATTCAAAGATTTAAGACTTTCTCTATGTGCACTAAAGGCCTATTTCGCTCAAATATTGTTCACAAATCTGTCATAATCTGTGTTAGTGAGCACTACTCCTTTGCCGAAATAATCCATCCACCTCACAGGTGTGGCATATCAAGATGCTGATCAGACAGCATGGGTATTGCACAGGTGTGCCTCAGGCTGGCCACAATAAAAGGCCACTTGACAAGTTTTGTAACTTCTTATCAAGACTATATTTCTGAGGAAAACAAAAGAATAATGCAAAGGAAAAAAAACTAGTTCCAGCACGTCTGCCTTAAAAAACAAATATAATATAATACATGGAAGTGTGGTACTCTCTTGACAATATTGTGTCACAGAAGCAAAAACCACGTTCTGTTTTCTTTGTTTTTGTGCTTTGGCCATCAGAGCCCATAGCCAAACAGGAAATCAACAAGGAGAGGGGTGACTCAAGTCCAGCACTTTTGTTTATTGAGCTGAAAGCCTCTGGTATGACAGGAATCACAAATAGTGCAAATCATGCCGTTTATCTATTCTTGGTGCGTCTCAAGAAGCAGTTCAGTCTGCTAACTGTAGCCTTTACTAGCGGCTAGCTTGACTGAGATCTCTGTCTGAGGAGTGCCTCTCCCACTCCACAGGGACTGATCAGTGTGTTGCCAAAACCATGGGACTTAACAGTTTGCCATGCCCTAAGGCGTAGTCTGTTAAAGTTAGGTGTGGCACGACAAGACAAATGTGGGAGGGGGATTTAATACGATTATGGATTATGAATTATGAAACTGGAGCTGACACAAGTGGTGCACCACAATGATTTCCTGATGTAGATTAACTAATGCATTTGACATAAATGTCAGATGGAGCAGATCCACATTCTACAATTTGATGACATCTTAGAATAGCCCTGCCTTTGTTAGGTAGTATTCCTGTCAAATTGGCAAAGTTAGTAGTTATTTCTGTAAGTTTCATTTTCAGGCAGGCAGAAGTGGACTCTCATACCAGTCCACTGACTATTTTGTCAAGATGTTGGGATAGCAGTGCTGCGAGGCCAGGAGGAGTGTGGTGGGAGAGGCATGTGAGGAGCAGATTTCTCATGGACTGAAACGCAGTCACACTGAAGACTTTTGACCCAGGCCCCCCGAAAACCTTCTTCCTCTGGAAAGAATGTGGCTTCGTCTCCCCCCGCCTTCTCCTCCCTCCCCTCTTGTCCTCCCTCCCACAAGACTGTGAGAAAGACAGTGTCTTTTATACGTAGTCTGTGCTATGTTGGCTAGAATTTGATTTCCATGTGTATACTGCAACTCACACGTGTATTGGTGTATTGTTAAACACGCTCTGTAAGGGGGGTAAAGCTCTATATACATATTACAATATACAATTGCACATATGTAATATGTGCATTTAACAGGTCCAGGATGTCCAGGTTCTGCACATTTTAAGCCAATTAAGTTCTTATTCCACATTTGAAACGATGGGACGAGCCTACCTCTTTGTGGCCTCACATCATTTCGCCTTTCTCTTGATCTGCTCCTCATTTCCATTCTTGAAGTCTCCAACAGATAATATTTATTATAGTTCAACAAAAAAAACAGATGACCAGAACACATGAGGAATAATATCTTTATTTTCACAAGCAAGCCACTACTTTGGTTAAGAAATCCCGTTATTGTATTGCAAATACAATAAGATGATGATCACATCTGTTGAAGGAATATTACAAAAGGTCCAATTACGACTATTTTATAGCATAAATGTTAATCGGACACTTGTATCCTGCTATATAGCGGTATGCATATACTGTCTCCACCTTTGGTTGCATTGCTACTGTCCCTTGCCTGTCGTTTTGCATTAACTTCTAAGTGCTGTGCACTCACATATCTTCCAAAAAGTTTTACTTCTGTGCCTTCACACTTCCATTGTGTAGGGTTTTTATATAGCAATGAATGGTCCCTACAAGAAACACATTTAAATTTGTGTTTGGTGAATTTGCATAGAGAAAGATCTGCTGTCCAACAATACACACGGGTACACTCATGTCCCCTGTGCTGTTTGAGCCCCATTACCCCTCACCCACACACCTACTGGCTGTATAATGCATCAAAAACATACTTGTATCAAGATTAAATTTTTTGTGAAAACTGACAAGACAGCAGTTTGTTCCAGAGTTCATTTGGTTCCATATTAAAGAGAGATAGCCATTTGCCTTTATTAGGCCACTTTAGATGTAAAAAACAAAACAAAAAACACATTCATGTAAAGGGTTAAGAGGGTTTCACTGAAAAATATCCATTCACTTCTTTCATAAATCCTCTTCACATCCGGGATTCACATCAGCTCAGTGGAAGTGCTCATGTCTGTGATGGGAGTGTCATCAGGGATCTTGACATCAGTGGGAATGAGGTCGGCGACAAGGTCATTTCCTTTCAGCTCCAAGTTCTTTAGGAGTCCGCTTAGACTTTCTTCGTTGACATCACTCACAAGCTGCTCCAAGTTCCCTGCCTCCTTCACCTCCATCATCTTTTCCGGAGATTCTGATGTTTTCTCAGACTTTTCCAGCTCAAACGTGGAAACCGCAGACATCTCAGCGCTGTCTTGGCATTCCTGAGTCACCGGGATGTCTGAGGGCTCATCAGCATTAACTGAGGCAGGGATGGGAACTGGGGAGGGAGGGGTGTTAATAGGTTGGGGAGTTACATCAGGGACACCCAGGTCGATCAAAGGTGGTGAAGAAAGCACCGGCTCAGGGAGAGGCTCTTGAGTAATCAGGTCTGTCTTCTGCTCCAGGGCCTCAGCTAGGGCAGGTACTGACTCTGAGATGGGCTCAGGGACTGCCTCAAGTTCTGCTTCTGCTGGATTTGAGGTAGGATCTGGTTCGGGAACAGGCTCTGGAGCTGAGTCTGGAGCAAGCACAGCTTCAGCAGGAAGTTTTGGGGGAGATGGTTCACTAACTGAGAGCAGAGGCTCAGGTTGGACTGGAGCTGGGGCTTCCTTTGCCACAGGCTCTGGTTCAGCATCATTTAGTGGGGCAGCAGGAGCCTCCACCTCTTTACACTCAGCCACACATTCTTCAGTGGGTAAACACGCCACTTGTGTCACTTGCTCCCCCACCACCACATCTAGATTCTCTATTTCAACGGCCTCTGGAGTCTGTGTTATCCCAGAGTCTTCTTCTGCCACCTCTGCAGTCTGCTGTTCAGAGGCAGCAGTTTCATCGCAGTCGACTGAGCCATCTTGCTTTCTGCCTAACTTGTTTCCCATGATGAACCTGTGCAGAAGTTCAAAATGAGGATAAAATTTTAAATAATAAAATGTCAAATGATATTCTTTGGTTACAAAAAGTAAATTCACTCTTTTCTTTAGCTCAGTATTACACAAGATTCTTGTTGCAGGCACTCTATGTTAAGATTTTCTTCCAAATTCATGAATATGCAATTGTTGAACATTACAAAAATAACAAAACCTAAAGAGAGACACGGTCTTAAACATGTCAGAGTTAAGTGAATTGCATGAGCAAAAATTAGCCAGTTTGTGTGTTATGGTACATTATGTTCTCTTGTAACCCTTCCCGTGCTGCATGTACAGTATGTCCTAAGAGGCAGTGTGGAGATTTGAGCATGTCTATATAGTCAATGCCCAAGGATCATTTAAAGCATTTGCTTGTGTGATTGATTATCTCTTGACTGCTTTGCACAGCATGTCACCTCCACCTTAGTCCATTGGAAATCAATTATGGCCAGGTTTAGACGTGCACTGAAAACATTTACCACTTCACATCACTTAACTGCCACTACCCCCTGAAAGAGAATATATAGTTTATGGTTTCCGGTTCTTTTGATTTTCTAATTACGCTTTTCTGTTAAACAACCACACCTTGTCCGAACTGTGCTGTCTCTGTCAGAGACATGGATCCACATACCCACACGCAGTGTTAATTTTCAGCATGACAAAAACATCCAGATTATAATTATAATCAACGCAACTAATACCTCTACTAATTGCCGTTTACTGCTGGTCTAAGCAAAACGAACAAAGAAGCCCCTTGCAGACGACCCCGCCTCCCTCTCGCGCTGGACAAACTTTAAACTATCCAAAGTGTCGACAACGGTAAAAAAAAAAATAGCTGGGGTCGTAACGTGCAGTTAAAACAGATAACCGTCACCAACCTTTTGAAACTTTTCGCGTTGGATTTAAAAGAGATAAAGTCGCAGATGATCTCTCACTCTTGACTTGAAGAAGTCCGCACGTCAGACTGACTGTTGAAGCCAAGTAGTCCTCTGGTTCAGTCCCTCAGACGCAGTTGCGCACCGTGCGCGCCCACGGTCTATGCGCGTGCCGTGCGAACCACCGATTCTGCACTTCCTGGGCCAGACTGATTTTGATCGCTTAACTAATCGTAAGTAAACAGCGCAAAATTAAACTACACGTTTATCTTTACTCAATCAAAACTTAATATCCAGCTATGAATCAGTATTTCATCAAACCAGGTTCACCTGTCATGTGTCTAAATGATCAGCACTGGGTCATGTTTCTAAATTATCACTAGAAGTTTCAAAATGATCACAATTAGCGCTTCTTAAACTGTATTATAATGGAAGCTAGTGATTTCAGTGTTGACAAGTCCATTTTACTTAAATGTGATGCGATCATAATGGGTAAACATCAGCTGACCTACTGTGGGTTGACACATTTATTGCTGTAGCAAGTGCTAGTGCCTGTTTTGCTGAGCCATTTATAACCACTCCCATTCAGGGCTTATTTATGAAGATCACTTAGACAATAAAGTGAGTTCATTAAGAAATTGGATTTATAGGCATTTTTAAATGCATCTCTTCTGTTTGTACAGAAAGTCTTCTTAAGATTTATTTCCCAAATGATTAAGTGTTTGTATTGATTTCTGTCAACATGAATATTAAATCTGCAGGTCAGGGGTCATGAGGCCTAAGTCAGCTTCAGTCATGGCTGTTCTTTCTGTGAAGAGAACCACAGGGCGCTCTTTTTGGATTTCGGTGTTTCTCCTGCTTATCTTCACTCAGATGTTAACCTCCCTGGTGCTCTATTCTGGTGTGTTCATTCTCTCCAACGAAGCCCTCATCAGCCCCTTTTGCTTTTGTCTAAAACATGTTCAACATGGTGAACCCTCCTGCAACAGGTGGTACAGGAGCCCTGTCAACGGAGCTGAATCCAAGATAAAAATTAACTTCCTCACAACAGTGGTTACTCTGGGTTTGTACATTCCAGTGGTGCTTGTGGCCTTTGCCCTGCTGGCCATGCTGTTAGCAGCTTACGCCAAAGACAGAGCAGCCCTCTGGTTTAGCATGGCCTGCCAGGCTGCATCAAGCCTACTCATCCTGACTGGCATTGTTAGTTTTTTGCTACTCAATCAGTCGTATGTGAGCTGGCAACACATGACCCTCTGGTTCTATATCTGTGTGGCTGTGCAGGTTGAGCTGGTTATCGTAACTGCACTGACCCATGTGTCGGGAAGGAGGCTAACGTCTGACTGGAAATAGATGGGTCCAAATAAAAACACATCCTCGCCTTTTTAACGGAAGGGACGTTTGATTGGTGAGCTTCAGGACAGTGGTGATTAAAGTTTATAATCAAATTTCAAATGTATTTTTTTGTTACATGTTCTTTATGTTTTCACTAAACAGTGGTCAAATCTTTGGTTTGAGGCAAATGCTGACAAGGCCTAATGACAGATTTTCTGATAAACTGTACCCATTATTTGTTAAATCTACTGGAACATACTGTGATTGCTTTTGCATGACGTAACAGTGTTTTTGAATTGTAGACCAACTGGTTTGAGAAACTGACATCAGTGTGTAAATAAAAAAACAGGAATAGCTGGTGCTAAAGACAATGACACTGTGTAAAAAGGTGGTAGACCAATACCGTTAATGCTGACACTTGCTTTTTTGATACTGCTTGTTCAAGAAAAACAGCTACTTCCTCATTTATTAAAGTGGGGGGAAAATACAATATCTATAGTGGACATACATTCAGAATTAAACATAAGAGTATGCTCTGTCATCTTAAATCTGTGGTGTCATCAAGAGAAAACCTGGAGCAGCTTCGCTGACTGATTCCTCTAGGACATTATGATTAAAGAGGCCACAGGTACAGTTACACTATAGTGCTCAGTAAATCAGAAGAAACTCTGTGTCGAATGTTCAGTCCTCTGCACGTGGAAACGTGGGCTTTCCTACACATGGGCTTGAATTTAAGGTCTTCTGTACAGTAGGGTTGGTGGCTAGTCTACAGGGCATTTCAAGTGTGGTGATGTACTGTAACATGAGCATCAGTTTCAGATTTCAGCTCTGTTACTTACATCAAAAGGGTTCTGGATAAACTTTCAGGAAAATCCCATCTAAACTTTACAAAATACCATGTTATCTGTGTTTTGGGGAATTCCCATTAATTTGTGGTAATTCAGTGTAACAGGACAGTGGAAAGTAAAACATGCAGCAGCTCCATTAACATTGAATGGACCTCAGACGGAAACTGCACTGTAAGATTGGGTTTTAGATCATAGATCAGCGGTCATTAAAAGGCATATACTGGCATTTACTCTTAAACTTGGGTTAATTATTGGTGTAAGTCTTTTCATCAACTGTCTATGGAGCTGTGCTAAAGTTTACATATCAGTGACATCAATTAAAGCATCAGTTTCTAATTTGCAGCTTTATAGAGGAACTTTTGGCCTCCAAAAGTATGGATTGGAAGGTCTGAGGAATTTGTGATTTGGGTGGCATTCCCCTTTTAAGAGAATTTTTTCCATTTTAGTGCAAAAACTGAACAAGGCTTAGCGCACTTATAAGGTGACATTCAATAAAATGTTCATCATCAGGTGAAAAAATTTCTCGCACAAGCCGCAAGGCATCATCCTCCTCCGCTGCATCTGCTGGCGTCTGTGAGCACTCCTCTTTTTTGTCAGCCATTTCATTGTTCATGAAACCGGTGTGATCCTGCACTGGTCCTGACCTCTGACCCTCAGGTCGCTGATGCTGCGGGCTCTTGGTGTACGGCACCGTTTCCACCTCTGTAATGTCCAAGTCTGTTTCTGAGATGTACGTTGTCCCCTGGGCATCACCGCAGTCTGAGGACTCCTCCTCTGAAATCACCGGCTTTGCTATCATCTCTGGAGAAGCAGGATTCTCCCTCATCTTCACAGTTGTGTCTACTGCCTTGTCTTTAGCCTGTTTCGGGAGGGGGTTACACAATTATTCAGGAAATATCCTGCATTTTACAAAAACTTGTGAGGTAAGATTTGAAAAGTGTTTTGTTTTTTAAACATTTGTGTAAGTAAGCTGAGAGGCACACACTGGTGCAGGTAAAAGAGGACTAAAAGTAACTGAACTATAATCCAAACATATTTGATTATCACATGATTATTTTAATTTACATTTTTGGATATTTTTATTTAACTTTTTTTTTTTAACAATATTAACATGTTTTTATTTAATTTATAAATGGCTATCAATAACTGGGTCTTTATACCAAGGCAAATTCCTCGTATGTGAAATGTATATGGCAATAAACCCGATTCTGATGCTGATTTTATTTTTCCAGTATAAAAATTTCAACCGTTAACAAAGGGAAAGAGCGCCACCTTTTGGTGAGTCAGGAGAACCACGTCCTCGCTTGCACCGCTGGTAAGATATGAAACAGCAGCTTCTACCAGCTCCTTCTCGTTCATACAGTAGAAAGCAGCTCTGAAAAAATTGCGTATATGTTAGTCAAAACGAGCTAAGGAAGAAGAAGCATAAAACCGAGAGTCTGTCTTGTTTTTTTTCCCCACGCCACCTAACGTTACCTTGCAGTTTTCCGTTTCCCCCTTCTCTTCAGCGGCTCCTTCTCTTTCTCCTCCTTCTTCTTCGCCATCCACGACGGCAGCGCCCGGTGCCTTTCCGACATGTTGGCACTGTGTTATGAAACTTACAACATTTGAATATCTGCACAAAGGTTACCGAGGTTTTATTCAGTATCAAAGACGAACGTGGGTTTGCATTTTGGTGAAGTCACGTGACCGCGCTGACTGACTCTTTAGCGCCCCTTAGTAGACAAATAGCTAAATGCACCAAGAGATGAAACATGCTTCTTCCAAAATAGTTAATAATTTGACATTAAACGAATGTACTGTCCTACTGATTCAGACAGTCCATTAGGTAAAGCTCTTCAGATTATTTAAAAATCCCGCCTTAAAACAGATATTACATTGTTATTCATATGGTTTGTTTAACCTATAATGTAATGTGTTTTGTATGTAAATGAATCTGCAAACTAGTAACTAAAGCACTAAAAAAAAGTGATGTTAAAGGTGCAAATGCTTCTTAAATGTAGAGCAGTCGAGGTTGTATAAAGTGTGAATACTCTGAACCCAAGATTGTGATAAACATAAATAAAATAATGTATTAAGTTACCACCACTCACATTTTGCCACACCCAGCTGTATTTAAACATTTACACTTGATTGTATGACATAGCAGATTGATAGTTTTATAGGTTTAAATTGGGTTGATTTTGAGACTTGGGCTCATTGACATTTTGTCTTTTGAGTATGTGTTGAGAGATTCTTTTTGTGTTGTTTTGCAAAGCTGCAGAACAGACAGAGAGTCCAAAGCAAATTTCCCTTTTGGGACAATAAAGTATCTTAAGTTATCTTATTTTATTGAAATGAGTTTGGTTTGAATGGGTCTACAGGTGTGAATCAGAAATGTACCACTTTTGCTGAAATCACATTCTGTGATTTTACTATTGTAGTGGCACATGCCCAATACTTGTCGTATTCACATTACTGCTAATGTTCCTTGTATCCTTATTTAATGTACTCTAGCTAATAATCATTTATTTATTGTTAAAAAAGTAGTACAGTGAAAGATTCAACTATAATTTCCAAATCTCTCTCTCTATCTTTCTCTCTCTCCCCTCATTCACGTCCATCTCCTACAATTGTACAGCACTTACATAACACAGACAGACCCTGTACAGTTGGTCATTGTTGGAATTAATCAGCATTGCAGTAGTGTGCTGTGTAATTAAAGCTGCGTTGCGGTGTCCGCTCATTCAAATTCACTTCTCTCACCGTGGCCTTTCTGTTGTCCAAGCTCATCCACATTTGCTGTTACTTATGGTTGTTTTAAGTATTCCACATTAAGAATAGTATTTCTTGCTTCTCCCTCACATATTTTTATTGGCATATTGAGTCTCATGCCAGTAACATAAAACAACATTTCCTTAAAAGTTTAAATTAGATCAGTTTCATCATCAACTCTGTTCATATGTTTAACTCCCATCTTAGATTTGGTCAGATAATAATAGCTGTTTGATTAATGTTTTTATTTATTTTTGAACTGCATGTGTGGACAACACTAGCCACATGTGGACAGAAGATAATCCCTGCTAGTCTAATCGCATGACTCATTATTTTCTCACTTTCCACTCTTTTCTCCTCTTTATCATCCTCTTTCAATCTCTGATGTTCGAAACAGCCTTGTGTCAGATTCTCACCTTCTGTCACTTTGGAGCCAAAGCTGCCTTCTCTCACTCAGGCCTTTTAATTATGTCTGTAAAGCCCCTTCCTACAAGTGCTTAGGCCTTGATTGCAAAGACCAGCTTTATATTTGACTAAATTAAAAGTGGGGGGAAAGGGAGGAAAAAAACCTCAAGGCATAGAGCATGTTAACAGCCAGATGCACACACAATGTCACTTTCCCTAAAGCTCTCAAGTTCAGCGCATTTTAGGAATGACATGTAATCAGAGGCTGAACTGGTATCAAATAAAAACAAATCCTCATCTATGACCACAATATTATTATTGTTTACAACAGATGTCAACAGAGGCACGTTAAAAAAAATGACTGTTACTGACCTACATTTCTATAGTTGATAATTATTAGACCTCGAGTGTTTCTAGTTAAACACAAACCACATGAGGTCTAATAATTACCAAATTCTCATAACTGCATCCCATCCATTAACAATTGTTTGTTTACTATTCACTTTTTATTCATTTATCATCATCATTACTTATCATCATTGTTGAAATTATTTAAGAAATTGTAAAACAAAACAAAGATATTTAAACATAAAAAACCTAAAGGCATTGAACTCATCCTCCTCCGGGCTTGCTGCCACATCCACAGATCAGGCCGTGCTAAGAAGATTTCTTTGCTAAAGGAGTAAAGCTTGTCACTGCTTTACTTACAGCTGAATTTGTGGGTCAGACATGGCCAAAATGTCATGAGGGCATCAGCGCTGTGGTTTTGTTTAACACTGGTTTGATGTTGCTGTCTGGTTCAGAATCAATATTTTAATGAGCCGCATTTTTATGATATTTAGAGTTGCAAAACAAGCTGATCCGTAATTACACTATACAGACATTTTGAACAGAGTTTTGTTTGATATAAAGATGAAGTTGAATTGGACATCAACGACTCGATCAGGAAGTAATTTCCACCTAATCTAATCTATCTCCTCTCGTTTCCACAGCACCTCTTCAAATGTTCTTATTCTCAGGGCCTTAAATGGTGAGAACCAGACTAATCTTCTAGTTGTCTTCCTGGGCTTAACCCTGATTTGAGTAAGGGTCATTACCATTGGCCATCTGTCCAAGAAACGCTTGTTGTGATTGGGCATATGGCATAAGAGAGAGCAAGATTTAGGAAGAGCAGAATGTTTAAATTGAATGTAGATATGCCACGGTTCACATTGTCTGTCGGGAGACACATAATATCGTTTCATTATGTAACCCAGGATCGTATTAGTGTGTGTGAGCACATTTACTAATGTGTAGATGTATGTTCACAGATGTAGGCTTTGGTATAGCTTAACTTAACTCTTTCTTGTATTGCAACACTCATTACATTGTAAGGGGTCTTTCAGCTCCCACTTGGCTTTGATTGTTGCAAAACACACAGGAGCCAATTATTCCCAGAATGAAAAACATGTTCAAAGACAACGCAATCTCTCAAGCGCACTCATTCAGTGTGTAAACTGTTTGTTGATGTGCATAGCTGTGTGTGTGATGTATTTCTGTCACATGACATGGTCATGCAGTTGTCTACATTAATCTGCAGTATCTTTATTCGTTTCTTTTTACATTATAGGAACATCTTTGCTGATACACTTCCTGTGCATGGGAAATATACGCTCACCTGGATGTTGACCAAAGCTAATGTAAATACAGGTGTAAATTGGTTATGGGTTGAATTATGAGCTATTCTCTATGTCAGCTGGCAACAGAGAAGCAAAATAGACAGACAATGTGACAATTAAAGTAGTTTTTCAGGCTGTATCTGTAATCACAGGAAATAGACTTCATTCTTTGACAATGAGGAAAATGCTTCAGGGAACAAATTCCCACATGAATTATCCTCGATAACAGCAAAACTGTTTGGTGGCAGCCCGGCTGACGGTGAGTGTCCTGTTTATTTCTCCTTTTTTTGCTTGTGATTCTGTTTTCCCCTGTTTTTTTCCTGTACTCTGCCTGCCTCCCTGTGTCTCCTCCCCTGCGGGTGGTCTCTCTCTCTCTCTCCCTCCGCTCCTGAGCCCAGCCAACGACCCGCACCTGCACCTGCCTGCCACACCTGCCAGCAATTAACCTCATCCCTGCCTGCATATCTCCACTCCATCGCTGCTTGATCGTCGTTGCTCCTTACCCGGTGCCACTTTACCACTCAAGCTCTCACGTATTCTGTGCCATTTCTGTTTCCCTGTGCTTTGTCTCCGCTGTGTCTAACCCTGTCTGTCTGTCTGTCTCCCCTCCAGGTCCACTCACCTCAGTCCTCCACTCCGTCATCTGGGCTTGCCACCCTGCCCTCTCCACTCAGACCTCTTCCACGGCGTCCTCCTGGCTCCTCCCCGTGCCTCCTCGCTTCCTCGGTCCCCAGGGCCCCAGCTCCCTTGTCTCAGGCTCCTCGGTTCCCCGTGCCCATGTTTCCCCGGCGTCCACCTCTCCCTCACCTCCACTCCCTCAACCCTGTTTCCCCTTCAATAAAGCCTGTTCTTCCCGAGTGTTGCGTTTGGGTCCACTCTGTCCCCACACCACACCATTGCAAACATTGTTCCCCTCAAACTATTGATTGCACAGATTTTAGGTTTCTTCTTTAAAGGAACACACACCACGAAACTTATATCTTGTTGCATGACACTAAAGGACTGTAAATGGCAGATTAGTGTGAACCAAAGATTTTCTGTGAAACTGTGTGTGTGCGATTGCTTCTTTCTCTGATGAATTGGTCTCAGAAGATATCAGGTGGACATCCCACACAACAAACCATATGTGAATTTGTAATAATACAGAAAAAATGCAGCGCTCCATCAGAGCATAAACAGATTATGAGGATTGTAAAGAAGAGAGAACCTGAAGACACGATACTGGGGTTAAAGTGAAATAGGGATCTTATAATCTCAAATGTTAGTAATCTACAAACCTTTTTTTTTTTTACAATGGATTTTGCTTTGGGATGGCTTTCAGTATAGTTGCTTTGTTTAATGAGGTCATTTTCTTGCTTTTCTTTCTGTCTAATCTGTTGTCATATGGACCAGAGATAAGAATAGAGTTTAGCATCAGCTCTTCCTGCTGCTTGATATCACATACGTGGAAATCTGTCCGGGAATAGGATATTTGTGTCATTCTCAGTGGTTGGGGCCCTCGGTGCAGTCTGGTTTTGAACCTTAAAATTACTATTATGATTTAAATCATATATGGGAAGGATTACATTTGATTAAAAAATTGTCAAAATTGTGTGAAGTTGTTGATTGTGTGATGTTTTTGGCACCTTAAAGGAAAGTAAAAGGTATATCATGCTGGAGGTACACTGAAGTAAAGGCTTTCATTGCTTCACTATAAAACCCGTGTTTGTCTCCTCAGCTAAATGTTGGATTTACCACAGTGGACTGCGCATGATTAGTTGTGACATAATCTAGCGTTACAACATCAAATTCCCAATGGCACGAGCAAAGGCAATAAAATCTGTCGCGCTATAGTGTGTGTGTGTGAGGACACACCCCCTCTACAAATCAATGTGATGGAAAA